AATCACTGGTACGATAATTGGATGAAGCCCCAAACCCAAGCTGCCATGACAGAAAAGTATGGCAGAATTGTACGAATCTGGAATATTTTCCTGGCATGGTCAACCATAATAGCTCGTCAAGGCAATTCAACTTGCACTCAGCTGGTATGCCATAAAAATCTAAATGTGTATGATCGCTTGAAATTGTTCAAGGTGAAATCTAAGTGAGTACTTTTTATTCTAGCATGAAACAAATCTAGGTGTCTTGTGAAAGAGTCTTGAATCGTGATCTAGAATATTAATGTTTGTTAACCTTTGTGACAACTACACAGTTGTCATGGGGAATTTTATCAGCTTAACTACATTGTGACTTAAATTTGAAGGGACAAGTTATTATTTACATGATGAAAAATGTGTCAAGATGTACTTGTTATTAAGTCTCATCTGCAGTTTAAGCATGATTCCATCATGACTAAAAATAATTTGACACTTTTCTTTTTTATTTACACCGATCATAATGATTTGAGTTTTGTTTCTTTCCCTCATTTGAATTTATGTTGAACATCAGTAATTTTTGGCCAGTTGAACTGGCCAATGGAAGGATTTTTTTGAAAATTAAAAGCAAGTTCTCTGACTGACTTGAGAATTTTATTTTACCTAGTCAGAAATGTGTTTCCACTTTCATTAGTATCAAATTTGATTTCCTTCATGTTACATATTTAACAATATTAGTCCATTTAGATTGACAGTTGTCAGATAGAATTTTTGAGAAATGGAAATTTAACTGGCTCAAATATCCACAAAGCATATATCTTTCCCTGAGAACTGTTTAATATATGAACATGTTTGATGAACAAACTTGTAAGCTGCTGCAAAACGCTCTCTCTGATTCTATTTCTTGATTAGTTGTGTGATAGTAACTACACAGTGAAAAGAAAATAGAGAGTTTTGAATTTACACATGAGTAAGCAAAGAGGAAAATTTACATTTCATTACTAATGGGAACACAGCTTTTTTTTTCCTTTCTGCACTGTAAGATTTACTTTTGGTGAAGAAATGGGAGGTGGTCAGATAGAACAGCTGTTTTATATAGCAGCATAACTATGATTGAACAACATCTGTCTAGCTCATTAGTCACTTACAATGTTTTGTGAATAGCTAACCACATCAATGACTATGAGTTAGTCATTGCCTCAAAAAGTTAAGAATTTGTTGAGCAAGAATGGTTTCTAGCGTGATATTCTAAGCACATATTTTGTGAGAAGTGCCATGATATTTATTTTAAAACACAGAGGAATTTCTTTGGATTGTGTGACTGAAATTGTATTTATGACCACTCCCTTATTTAATGGAATATAAAATTAAGTATACACAAGTGGATTTGAATGAAGATTCTAAATAAGGGTTTCTGTTCACATCAGTCATTTTCATATATCCTATCATGGAGAGATTTTACTTCCTTTATCAAGTTCAATGCCTTTGTAGGTAGACTTTTTATGATTTCAATTTTTCTTTCCTCTCTCTCTTTCACTCCTCTATTTGTTGATGTTGTGGTTTTAAATCAGAATTTCAAGCTTGCACAGTATAAAATGATTAAAATAATTTTCCTTATCTGTTGTTTTTCAAGCTATGAACTTAAGACTGTAAGCTACATTCTACTGAAAAGAAGATTATTGTTATGGTTAAATTAAAGCAAACCAATGCCCGCCGATTAAAGTTATAAATTGCTTGCTAATGTATAGAAAAACATGGATCAGTGATTCCCTCAAGGACTAAATCAAAATGATTCCCATAATTTTGCTTGAGACTATTCCTCCAAAATGGTCTCAAGTCAATATATATTAGATTAATGACAAATTTGTTCTCTTTTAAGTAATTTTCTGCTATCCTTATTGCAATCAGTGTTGATGTAAAAAATTTATTTATTTAAATCATCATCAGTAAAAATAATATTTATTGGTAAAGTAACTATCAGTAATTGAAAGTTAGGGATGAAAGCATACTTGTAGCAGGTTTAATTCTGGCGAAATTTCCTTGAAGAGGAGCATTTTGGCCAAACTAGATAAATTTTTCTTTAAATATGAATTCTTAAATGTTTTGTTCAGTCGTTCATTTTGTGTTTACATTGTGGGGCTGAAATTTGTTCTGTCAGCGCCTATACTTGCTTTTGCAGTATCAATTGATTGTTGATATTAAAACAGCAATAATTTTTTTTCATGTGAGCTCAACACAGGGAATTTCCCTAGTGGCATTTGCTTAGCATTTAGAATGATTGGTCTGTAACTACATGCTCTCTCTACCAGTTTAAAGATTTAAGATTTGAAGTACATTTTAATATCATTGTTCACAAGCCAGTGTTATTGTATATCTTTAATTTCTCTGTTTTCATTTGTGGGTATGTTATGGAGTGATGAAAGTGTGATGGTTGCAAAGAGAATGAGACTGAAATTTGTTTCATTGGAGGACTTAAATAAGAAAATTTGGAGTGCGGTTTTTAAATGATCCTGTGCCTTGACTTGATAACTAAGTAAAGGTGACTTTTCTTTGTGTCTGCATATCTTGCTGCAAAAAACTTAGATTTTTTTAGAAATCCTAATGAAAAATTTACATACAAAAATTGAGCATTTACAATCGTTGCTTGAAAAGCATATGGTAGAACCTCAGTCGACAATTTGAACTGCAGATGAAAATTAATACAGTTCACAGTACTAGGGAATTTGTTGAGTTGATTGACTGCAAAATGCACGTCAAGGGAGAATCCATTCAAGTTATTGAGGTTCCACCACATGTAGAGGTGATAACTATCATAGTATTCTGAGTGCTTACTTGCACTTATTGTAAGGAAGAGCAGTTTTCTTGGCTGTGCCAAGTTGTAAAATATTGCTCATGAAAAGTATGGCTGTGGGCTAAAACTAGCATAACTAAGTTGTAGTCATGATACAAAAGTGTGGCAAAAAATACTAACAGCTGGGCTAAAAGAAAGTATTCTTGCTGGCAAGAATATCTCCTGTGTTTTTTCCAACACCTTTGTATCTTGGATTTTTGTCAACTGAATCAACAATACCATAGTGTTACTGGCAGTAAAACTCTTACTGTACAGGACAATGTGCCATGCATGTGAATTGAAATTCATTTATTTTTATTATTAATAGTGGTATGTGACTTACTTATGATGCCTATACTTGATGCTAGATTATATTTCTGTTATGTTATCAGTAATGTTACAGTTCTTACATAATGCTATATTTTTATGTAAAACGGATTATTGCATGTTGCTTGGGATATTTTTCACAAAGACCAGATTTGATCTTCAGACGCAGGCTTTTTGTACTTTATAAGTTTCTCATGAAAGATTTTCAGTTCAGTAAAAGTAATTTTAATTTCAAAGAACTGTCATTCAAGATTCCATACTAGTCTTTCCTTTTCTGGGTGTAACAGTGAAATTTTTCAAATATTTCAGTGCTTTGGTATGGCAAAAATACCATATTAAGGAGAGACTGTAATTAGTAAATGGTATTATATGCTGGAACTGATTCTATTCCAAAAGGAGAATTCAGCTGTATTTATCCTGAGGGTTGTCAAAAAGATTTTGAGCAACTGGACTACTTCCTAAAGTAGGCAGCATTAGAGGTCAAAAGCTCCAGGCAAGGGCTATGGGAACCACCAGCTTTTGGAGTAGCCAATGTGTTTTTCAGAGCAGATTGTAAAATACACCAGTTGCCAGCTTCTTTTGACAACCCTGACTTTAGTTTGTTGTAGTAGAAAAATTTTCAGTGTAATCTTTATTGGAGGATCTTGTTGATAACTTTTTTTCAATCACAATCAAGAACTGAAGAAAGCTTTCTGGTTAGAGCAAATCATTGAAAAGTTTTTGAATGAGTGCTAGTCAAGTAATGTGGTTCTAAAAACACCCAAGGGACTTGCAAGAATTATTTCACCAATCACAATGTAAATTGACTCCTAGCATTTTCCACATCTCTATCTAGTTTCAGTTATTTTCCTAGCCAGAAAACTATTTATTTGGTACTCTAGGAAAATGATAACACAAAGTTTAAACCTCTGGTTCAAATTTGGTATTTAAAGTTATGCTTTGCAATCCTGGAGTCAACCACAGAGTTACGAAGGGTTTTGTTCTGTACAACTCTTTTATTTACTGTAGTTTTTGTTAAACATTTCAATACCCAAAATATACTTAATATCTATTTATAATGCAGGTCTTAATTAAGGATTAATTTAAATGAGGATCAGGAAAGGGGGATTTTGGTGGAAGTGAAAATAAATGTTTTATTAAGGAATCAAATAAACTGATAATATTAATGACATTATTAATTTTCTTGGTGCTTGTAATTTTATGTGTAGCATCTTTAGAAACTTTCATCTAAGTGTGCTTTAATTTGGCTTGAAATAAATTTATTGTGTGAAGCATTGTTGTTGCCCCTTTGATTTTAATTATTTTGAGTAACCCATAGTTGATCAGTTTTAAGTCCTTTCACATTAAATTTTTTTTTGTTGATTATGCCATGACAATTGCAAAGCCAACTTGTGGATATTTGGGCAGAATATCTTAAAATGAATTCTTCTATGTCAAGGAATTTGAAGTGTTCGGTTCCAAATGGCACTAAACTCAATGCATAGAGGTAAAGGACCAAGCAGCTGATTAATTGAATGACTGAGAACATTAAAAGACTTGACATGTTTCAAAGCGTTCGATAAATATATAATGCAATATTTTCATTCAACCCTAACTAGCTTCCCATCACTTAATTCTATATCCCTTTCATCTTCTTTCTCATACTTCAAAGATGTCTTTCTCTCCAAAGTGTGCCTTCATCCACGATTAAGCGTTCAATTTAATCTTACGAGACCGCAGACTTGGAAATTTAGTTTCTGTTATCTTGAAAAGAACGCATAATGTGGTATTGGAGAGCACAGTCATTTCCCAACACCCACCCGGCCCCTAAGGAATCCTGCAGCCTGCTATGAAGGCCTGGCTACGAATTCCTATTGTGTCGATACAAACATGGCGGATTTATTGCAGACGAGAGGAGGAAAGGAGTATGTCCCTTTTATCATTGTTATAGACCTTGTGAGTGAAACAAAGTAGCTTCCTTCAAAGGATCATCGATTAGTTTATTAAGGATGTTTAGGGATCCCTTTTCACACTTGTGTTTTTCTCCAGCTCTAATGCTGACCAGTCTTAATTGAGCGAGGTTTACATGAAAATTCAAGTGAAGTTGCAGCGTGTGTTTGAGTTGTTGCTACGTTGATGTTTGTTCTTCTTCGATCTACGAAGATATTTTACAACCCAATCAGTCATCCACTATCCTATAGTTTCTAATGGAAGGTAATGGGGCAGAAATTCAGGTGCACAGTGATGCGGAGGACAACGGCTCTGCCGCAGGCAGATTGTCAAATTGTAGCTACAACAGCGAAGACGATAGTTTACTTGGTTTCGAAGACGATCTCGAAGGAGACGAAGAAGATGGAGAAGAGTTGGATGCTGAAGAGACAGTGACTTCCGCAAAAAATAATGAAGAAGTAAAAACAAAGAGAAAAAGAAAGCAGATCGACCCCAACAAACGAAAGCGGATTCGGCGAATTTTGCGCGAAGATGAACTGACAGAGGTTACAATTTCGGCCCAAAAAGAGGAGCGTGAGCGACTCCGAAGACTTGAACTTCAAAGAAGCTTAGCAGCATCTTCCACTAGTACTTCTAAAATTGGTGAAAATTTAAGCTCAGCATCACCGAGTGCTTCATCGAGGCCCTCAACCCCAATTGCTGTAGACGCCAGAGAGAAGAAAGACATTGAACCGCATGTGATTGTTATTGATAGTGATGATGATGAAGATTCCAGACCCTCCACTGCAGCTGTTAACTGTGATCATTTAAAGCAAGCAGCTGAGAATGTTAATGGAGAGTTTATTGAGATTATTAGTTCAGATTCAGAGGTTGATGATGTCAGTGATAACGATGATGATGAAGATTATGATGATGATGATGCCACTCCTTGTAAACGGAAGGATGTTGACTATGAAAACAGTGGGTTGCATGTTGATGACAGTCTCAATAAACCTGATTTGCAAGGACGAGTGCTTGTTAATGTCAGTCATCCTGCTGATGAAGAAGACATTTTTCTTGCCCCACAGATTGCTAGAGTTATAAAAGCACATCAGGTAGGGTATTCAAAAAAATTATTACATTATACAGCTTGTATGCTTAATGTTGCCTGTAGAATATGCCACTACTTAACTCATTACACCCTAGAAATTATTGTGCATATTCCACATACAGTTCTCCTGATATTTCCTAAAGTGCTGACAAGGAGAATTTCTTGCGACCACAATGTGTGATTCAGAGTTGATATTGTGAAAAGAAATTAGATGCTTGTCACTCTCAATGGTTCATAAGGTTAAAACAGCTTATTTTGCCTTCATGAGTAAACCACCTTTACCCTTTAACCCCCATGAGTGACCAAGACAGAATTTATCCTTACAATATCAGGTAGACAAGTGATGAGATTAGCAAAAAAGTCAGCCAGGAGGTCAATTAGTTGTTGATCAAATAAAAAATTCTCTGAATTAACATCATAAAAATTGTATGACAGACAGTAATAAGAAGTGCTAATGAGGTCTTGGGATTGGAATATATTTTTTCTCTTTTGCTCACAGATCGGTGGGATCAGGTTCCTGTATGACAACCTTGTTGAGACACTAAAACGCTTCAAAGTCAGCACAGGGTTTGGTTGTATTTTAGCCCATTCAATGGGTCTTGGTAAAACTCTTCAAGTAGTTAGTTTTATTGACATATTCTTGAGATACACCACAGCCAAGAAAGTGCTCTGTGTTGTGCCAATTAACACAATACAAAATTGGCAAGCAGAGTTTAACATGTGGTTGCCACCTAAACCAGGGCTCATTACAGATAGCAATGGAACCTTTGTGGAGAGTTCTGATTCTAGCACAGTTCATTACAGAGAATTTGAGGTGTACTTGTTGGGTGAAAATCACAAGACTACAATGGCCAGAGCCAAAGTTATAGGTATGTGAACCTTTTTTAGCAGGTTTGCAACCTGCAAATTGTCATGGATATAAGTAAAACAAAATTAACCTCAGGAGTTTCAAGAAAGGCTGCTTACCAGCTGTCTTCTGCTGCCTACAAGACCTGTTACAGTGGTCTGTTTAGTCTGCAAGCAGGCTCTTGTGTTTGGGTTTTACCTCATGGCCCAAATTTCCAAACTTGTTACTGTTAAGTTATTTTTTTTGTGTTTTTTTATGAGTTCCTTTTTCCTACATGTAACAAGTGCAATGTTTCTTTATGCCACAAATGTTAAGGTGAGTGGAACCACAATGGTGGAGTACTTCTGATGGGTTATGAGCTGTATAGACTTCTGTCAACTGTGACACCCTCCATGTCAAGTGCCAAGAGTATGCCAACGAAAAAGAAGAAATCACCAACTCTTGACAAAATGAATGGTGAACCAGAAGTTATAGATCTTGATGAAGAGGAAAAACACATGGAACTACTAATTGGTAAGTTGTTTTTTACGGTTATTACACAGGGTTCCTTTTGGTTTTAAAAAATCAGTGTTGTCACACTTGAAAAAGGGTTTGTTTACTGAGCTTCTTAAGAGGAGGAAATAGGGTTCACCATTTCTCTAATTCTATTTACAAACATGAAACTATGTACACTGCTGATCCAAGCAGCATTCAGGATGTGCATCTCATAAGGACTTTGTGATGGCCTTGCCCATGGTAGAGTCTTTGTGGCTCAGCATTGGAGTGTGGAATCACAAAGTCAGACTTTTGATTCCTCATAGGGACCTAAAATTTTTCTTTGTCCCTTGCTCATGACAAGAGAAAAAAACATCTTTTGCCAAGGAAATAGAGTGTTTTAAAGTATAACTTTGCTTTTTATCTCACAGGAGTTCAGAGAGCACTGTGTAAACCTGGTGCTGACTTAGTCATTTGTGACGAAGGGCACAGAATCAAGAATGACCAGGCAAATACATCACAGGCACTAAAGAAGATCCACACCAGGTATGAACAATTTCCACCCTAACATCAGTATGCATATTCTCCTTACCTCCATGTGCACATTTTCTAATATGCTGACAAAGAGAATTTGTATAACGATCAAGAAGTTCCTTAGTTTGTTATAATTTCCTGTTATTCTTGTATCAAGTCCATTACCAAGAAGTTGAGCTAAAATTAAACCTGATTGCTTCAGTCAACTTTGCAACTAAGACTGAATGAAAGCAGCCTCACAAGTCTACTTTCCCTAGATTTATCTGGGCAATCAGAACAAAGAAAAATTACTAGCGATCAAACACACTTTTCTTATTCATGAGTATTAGGGTAAAGTCTGTACTGGCTCACCCAACTGGAGTCTATCCCAGTTTCCTTAGCATGAAGCAACAAGGAGTATTAACACTCCCCCCCCCCACCCCCCTGCTGAATGGGATGTTAGTCTTTCACAAGTTAACCCCCCAGTATTTCATCAGGCTTCCCTGATAATTTGCCACTACCAATTTATACTCCTGGATGGAGAGTCAGGCACGGCGAGTTTAAAGTGTTTTTCACCAAAATCACCTGTCTCGGCCAGGTCTGTACCCATACCCCTCAACCTGGAGTCCACTGCACTGACTAGTAGGCCACTGTGTATAATGGTATTACTAGCTATGTAATAAATCTTTTTTCATTAGACGGCGGGTCGTTTTAACAGGATATCCATTGCAAAACAACCTTCAGGAATACTGGTGCATGGTAGACTTTGTCCGACCCAACTTTCTGGGAACCAAACAGGAGTTTTGCAACATGTTTGAGAGACCTATACTCAATGGACAATGTTCTGACAGCACTCCATCAGTAAGTATTAAATACAGGGTTCATCAACCCATTATCCTGAATTAACTCTGTGATGTTTGGCTCAGGAAAGCAATAAAGACAAGAGTAGGCACATGAAAGTCATGGAAATTTATTATTAAGCTTGAAGGATCAACATCAGTATCTTGGCAACTGTGCACCTACCCCTCCCCTTTACCCAATGACAACCCTAAATTGTTATCAGTCAACTGTTGTTGGGTTTGGGGAGGGGTGAGGGAAGGTAAGCAGTCGCTCAGATACTGACTTTGATCTAGAGTGAAAGAAGACAAACTTGGCAAACTTTCTGTTGATCTGTATGTAATGTGCATTGCTTACAATAGCTTTTATCAGCCAAAAGGAATATTTTAAGGAGATGTGTTATTCACTTACTCTGATTATAAGAAAAAGATTTTTAAGCTCTATAGAATCACCATGAAGACAAAATTTGTTTGCCTTTGATTAAAATGTCGCAGTGTGTGACAGCAATGGTAGAGTATGACCATAAAGTCTATAAAGGTACAGGTTATAATAAGTTTTTTCTGTTATCTAGGATGTAAAGATAATGAGATACAGAGCCCATGTACTCCACAGTCTGCTCGAAGGATTTGTGCAAAGGTAAAATAGTTCAAAGAACTTGTGTTAGTATGAAAAATACTTTCCCCTGACCTTCTTTCAATACACTTACTTTCAGACGATAATTAACAGCAAACCCAAAAACTAAGGGAATACATTATTAGGCAACAATAAGAGTAGTTCCAGGTGCCTTCTTTTCAGTTTGGTTAGAGGTTATTGATTTAACTGGTTTTGCCCAAGCTGAGGAGTTGTCAGGTTCTAAGATCTAGGCATTTATTCTGTTTTTTGTTCACTTGAAGTCAAGAATTTATTTATGTGTTAATTTTATAATTATTCATACAATTATTTCTGTTACTTCTTTTTAGACGGAGTCAAGCAGTTCTTACAAGATGTCTCCCAGTCAAAGAAGAGCACATAATTTTGGTTAATATGTCAGCTATCCAGAAAGAACTGTACAACACATTTGTTGATCGTCTGTTGCGTTCTGTTGGGTACATTAATCCCATCAAGGGTTTCCACACATGCACCAAGGTACAACAATAGTTAATACAAAAAGATAAAAACTTGATAAAAATATATATATCAAGGAGACTCCATGTTGCCGTACATCTGTTAGGTAATGTGTGACAGATAAGATCAAAATGTGGTCAGAACAAAAGATTACTTTATGTAATATCTTATGGATAATCCTACTTATCATGTAAATAAGATGACATACATCCTGATATTTTACAATATAAAACATATCCTTTGGTAGATTTGGAACCATCCTGACATATTTTACCACTCACTGGATATGAAGGATGCTGATAGGAATGAGTCTCCTTTGGTAAGCATAGAATACGTAAATGCTGCTTAGGAACTGAATTTGATGTCCATGCTGTAAGTTACAGACCAAATTTTTTTTGCTAAGCTGTGATTTAATTTAAATTGCCTTTGCTTACACTAATTTAAATAATTTCTTTCTTCCAGACAATTCTTGAAGATTCTAATGGATCATCACAAAGTTCAAAGAGGAATTCTCCTTCAGACTTAATGTCAGCTACCACATCTACACTGAACCAAGACACGAGAGCAAATTCAAGTGCTGCAGGACTCTCACAGAATCATTCTTCAGGATCAGTTGTATCTCCTTATTTTCCATCATCAGCAAATTCCCAGACAGTTAAAACTGATCCTGTCCCTGTTTCTTCTCAAGCTACCACACAAACAGAACAGACAGTAACCACAACAACTCAACCAAGCCGCAGTGTACAAGATACTTCAGTGTCAGTTATTCAAACAGTAGCAGCACAAATGGATCGCAGTTGTGTTCTTGTGGGAGATATGACATGGGTGAGTTGATCAGTTTTTATGAATGAGTCAGCTTTTAATGGATGAATATTTACTTTGCTAGTCATTGCCGCTCTCAGATTTCAATATGTGCAGCCCCACATGTGTCATGAAAAGAAAATGTTTGTGTAACACATTCTGTAGTCATCTCATTTTTCATGTGAAAATGTGGGCAAATCCTGATATTTATTTTATGAGTTAACACTAAAACAGTGAGGTAATATGGCATAAAAAGATGCTTTTAACTCATTTATTCCTGCAATGATTGCAATAATTATTTGCGGGCAGATGATTTCCAGAGTTGATCTCTCTTTCACTCCTGAGATCTTGACAACAGTTCTCTTCACTGGCTTACATACATCTCTCCCAATTCTGGTTATGAGAATTTGGTACTGAGTCAAGCAATATACCATACTTAATTTTTTGTCCTATCTTCTTGCCATATTCTAGCATATTACCATACTTTTTGTTCACCCAAAGAAGTTCATTGGTGAAACTTTCAACTCCTGTGAGTGATCAAGACAGAATTTCTTCTTACAATATCAAGCAGAAAAGTGATGAGAATATAGAAAAATATCAATTTGGGGATAATTAGTTGATCTAATGCCAAATTTTCCCAACCATCATCTTAAGAATTATATGGCAGACAGTAAAGAGAATCACTAATGAGATCTTGTGAGTGAAAGGACTAAGGACAAATCTTTGTCTGGTTTACTAACCAAAGAAAATATTTCTGTGTCTGTTTGTATCAGTGTGGCCTGCCAAGGTTGATAAAGGAATAATTAGGGGAATGTCTGTGAAGAGAGAAGGTTGTGATGCATTATTTAAATCCCCCAACTCATACAAATTTAGTGAGGTCTGTATGAGAATTTACAATTCAATCATGTGATCCTTTTTGATGTTCAGGCCAAGACTCTGTTCAAAGACTACCAGGTTGGAGTGATGAAAAATGGCGGCAAACTTGTTGTGTTGATGGAGATTATAGAAGAAAGCTTAAAACTGGGAGAAAAAATTCTCATTTTTAGGTAAGGTTCAAGAAGCTTAAAATTAAAAGGAACAAATAATCTGCTCTTTCTCTTGAGCACTGCTACTCTCTAGTATTTCATTTAGTACATGACAGAAGATGGTAAATTTTGGACTCAGGTGTTGAGTAAAGAAAGTTTTCATTCACTCTTCCTAACTGTTTTAATCCATTCACTCCCATAAGTGACCAAGACAGAATTTCTCCTTACAATATCAATACAATATCAAGCAGGCAGGTGATGAGAATGGAGAAGAACATCAATCATGGGATTATTAGTTGATCCACTACCAAATTCTCTGAACTAACATCATAAGAATTGTAAGGCAGATAGTAAGGAGAATTACTAATTAGATCTTGGGAGTGAAAGGGTTAACATTTTACACTAAGCTTTGAGACCTTGTTCTTAACCCTTAAACAAACAAAATCAAATTGTGGATTCTCTCCTCTGGCTGCGACATATTTCCTTGTAAATATGTTTTGAGAATATGGTGTTAGATCAAGATGACCACTTCTACCTGATAAGTTTGAGTATTCTCATTACCTGTTTGCTGGATGTTGTATCAATATTTTAGGGAGAAGTTATGGTTACATGTTTGTCACTTCTGGGAGCTAAAGAGTTAAACTGAACCAGATACAGCAGTGGTAGACAGTTGGATTACTTTCCTTATTGCCATTTTGGTTGATGGAGTGTTGAAAATATACTGTGGGAAGTTTCATATCGATCGTTTATTGGATAAGTGTTAACTCTTTACACCCTAACATCAGTATGCTTTTTCTCTATACTGTTCTCCTCTCATTTCCTAACGTGCAGATTAGGAGAATTTGTTTAACGGTCAAAAGCGTCTTTAGTTGGGATCATTTCGCTTATGCTCGTGGCCTTAATGTTTGATTCAGGGGTGATATGGTAAGGGGAAATTAGATGTGAGTCACTCATTGAAAGAGGTTAGAGAGTTAAGGGTTAAGTTGACAGTCTTTATCCCCAGGGGTGTGTTTTTATGAGAGGTTCAATGTTGAGGTATAATAAAATGGGATTTTAGTTATCTATGTCAACTTTGTATTTTTATTTCTATTTTCTTCCAGTCAGAGCCTGTCCACCTTAAGTGTGATTGAGGAATTCCTTTCCAAGCGTGATGTTCCTTTTTTTCCTGGTCGGGTCACTGATACGGGAAAGTCTACCAGATGGGCTAAGAACAAGAGTTATTATCGTAAGCTCCTTTATGTAAATTGCCATTTTAAACTACGGTAGCCATGGCTAATGTTTTGAATGTGTTCTACACTTCTACTTGTTCTGTTATGAAAGGTAAAAAATCTTAGGCCAGGGGACCATGAATTACCAGATAATATTTGGGCGTCACTATCTACTGAGTTACGAAGCGGCACGGCATTTTCCTTTATTTTAATCTTCTTCGATCCTTTCTTCCTTCGTCCGTGGGCGGCCGAGAAATGGTGAACCCATATTGTTATAGAGAGACTGCTGATACATGTGAGCATGAGCAGAGAGTCAATGGTCCCAATGGTTGTATTTCGTAGGGCTGGATGGGAACACCTCGGCACAAGAGAGGGAAAGGCTCATCAATCGTTTCAACGCTCCAGACAACACTGATGTCTTGCTGTTTATGTTGTCAACAAGGTCTGCGATAGTTGTGTACAAGAACAATTTTCTGTCAAGTGTCAAAGTACTTCAGAGTAAGCTTTTGCTTCACTCTGTGATTGGTCCAGGAATCTCTTGCTATTTGCCCAAATCAACCAACCAACGGGCACTCTGGATTTTGGAGATTAATTGAAGTGACTTTTTAATGATTTTCAACGTCTTATTGACAATCAAATCACCGTTATTAGTGAGAATAGTTTACATTTACATTATTTTTATTAGACAGAGAGCCATAAGAGGGGGAAAAAGTATCTCTTGAGGCCTTTAAATGTTGGGTGTCTTTGGAGAGTGTCTCTTGAAGACAAACAAAAATTCATAGAACTTTAGTATTTTGATGGTTTTGTGCAGAACTGGAAACTAGCTTGAAGTCTGGCTCATGAGTAACCGAATTTGTGATTACGAAATGAATAGGATAGAATACCACTTTTTGATAAAAGTTCAAAAGCTAAAACTGATCACTATTATTTTTGTATAAACTTTTCTTTTAATTTAGTTTCAACGAATGGCATGTACATTGCAGTATTCTAAATTTCCTCGTGTCCTTCTTCCAGGGCGGGATGTCTTGGTATCAATCTTATTGGTGCAAACCGTGTTGTTGTGTTTGATGCTTCGTGGAATCCGTGTCATGATGTGCAGGCTGTGTGTAGGTATGAAAAGACCATTTTGTTTTTGTTTCATCAGGCGATAAATTTCTTTTCTTTGTTACTATATTTAACACAGATCATCAGTGAAAATTGATCTTCACTGCCAGAACAATTTTCAATTGAGTGTCGAAAGTCATTCGGAACTCCCTTGGTTTTGTTTCATTTTAATATGTGATTGATCCAGAAAACTCGCGCCATACAATCTAAACCAATCAGATTGAGGACAAAATCGACCGCAACCTGGTAACTCGCGTTTTCCCGCGCTTCAAGCCGTTTTTTTATTTTTACTCTAGAGTCTCAAAGACTCCATCATTGGCTCCTTTTGATATAATCTTGTGTTTTGATTGGCTGGTAAGCATGTTAAAAGGAAACAGGCTTTCACTTGGCTACAGCCTGAACCTCCCAGAGACCACTCAGGTGCTTCTGTATATTGAGCTACAAAACCTTGTGTTTGGAGCGAAACAAATTAAAGTGGCCTCGTGGTTATTACTGAGTTGACCCAAAATTTGTATTTATTTATTTATTTTTATAGGGTTTATCGCTATGGACAGCTGAAGCCGGTTCATATTTACCGTCTTATCAGTACAGGGACAATGGAAAAGAAGATTTATGATCGACAAATATCGAAGCAAGGCATGGCTAGTAAGTAATGTAAGCTGTTGGCAACATAAGTGTTCTTTAAGTTGTTCTCTGATTCTGCGATGGCAACAATTTGTAACTTGAAGGTAGCTAGTCGCATGAAAACTGAAATTACCTAGAGATTTTAAGGGGTTACTTCATCAGCCAATTTCTCCGCGTTCCATCCTAGTATACAATAGCGCAGAAAAAGGCAACATCACAACACTAGTATCTTCCTACTCTCCTCTTTGTGAAGACTGGGTTATGTAACGTTTGCTAATCATGTAACGTAAAGAACTATAACATTAAATCATTTGCAGATTTCCCATACCTGCTTTATGGTTCGACATAGCCCTGAAATTTTGCTTCTTCTTTCCAAGGGTGCTCTGCAAATTGAGCTTCGATCAAATCAGCGATAATTCTTGTTCTGCTCTTTAGATCGAATCGTCGACGAGCTCAATCCGGAGGCAAACTTCACCAAACAAGAAATAATGAAGTTAATTTGTGAGAAGGTAAACTGCACTTTTTGAAATGTTTTTAAACGGAAAGAGTTTTATAATTCCTCTTGAGTTTCACTTCGCTTTTCTTTATTCACATCAGTCTATAGATAACCGCCCAAAGTTTTAAGGCAACTGCCTCTTCAATCTAACCCCACCCTCTCCCCCAAAGTAATCAATCGCACGACGAGTTCTTGTTTGATTCGTTTTATTTGCTTTTAAAGGAGGCTACTTCTCCCGCGGCTGACTTATCAGCAGCCGCTGACCAGTTCAGTGATCCCGTGTTGGTCAGACTGTGTCGACAGTGTAACTCTTGGATCTCCAAGGTCAGTCAAGTGATATTCTTTCGTCTAAAATCTGTCACTAGTGTCTAAAATAGGACCATTTTGACTTTGTCAAGATCTTTTAGAAGTATGTTTCACTCGTCTTGGTTGGTTTCCAGGTGCCTTTTAAGCACGACTCACTTCTGGTGGATAGAAAAGAAATGAAGCTGACCAAAGCAGAGAAGCGAGAAGCCAAAAGAGGTATTCAGACGTGTGTGCTCTGTTCCAGTTATCATCCATCGTTAAGATCAGCGTTAAGGACCAGTCCTAATTTATATCCTAGGAAAGGAGGGGGGGGATTTAGGTGGGATCATATGTTTTTCAGGGGGGACGGAGGGCTCGGAAGGGGGGGGGGAGAGTTAGTCGTCGCCATATAGTATAAAGAAGGGGCTGTAGAAAACTGACCGCTGATTAACAGTCAATAAAAGGGGAGAGGAAGTCATAAGAATATCAGAGAGTAAATGGAAGGACTATGTGACGAAAATCCTCCATACCCCCCCCTCCCCCCCCTCCCCCCCTCTCATTTCAAAATGTTTTAATAAACTGTTTAATTGCTTTCCCACGCGCGGAAATGCTGTTTGTACCAAATGAACTGGTAAGCGCAAGGAAAACTTTACCCATTGACAAGAACGAGGTATGATCATTGACTCCAGTTGGTTTTCTGGTTCGACCCCTGAGGAGGAAGGAAGCTATGTTTTAATAAACTGTTTAATTGCTTTCCCAGAAATGCTGGAAATGAACTGGTTCGGAAGCAAAACAACGCTTTGTTTGGATTGAAAATTTAAAAAAAATTAGAGTTAATGCGACAGCATTAACGAAAGCTGTTTGTCTTTTTTGCAGGGTATGAAATGGAGAAAAGACTAGCCTTGCAAGGACAAAAGCACTATCCTGGTGTTATTCAACCGGTTTATAGCAGGTATGGAAAACAGGGTTATTTCAGATTTTGCGCAAATTTAGTTGTAATGACGATGATGTTTAGGACTGCGTAAAGTGGTTGTGAATGCCATGAGTATGCTAGTCCTATGAAACAAACCTTTAATATATAGGTATCTTTTTCAGAAACAACCAACCCTTCGTTCCAAAACCGGTTTATCCTGTTGGATCGGTTCCTCTACTAACTCAGACAATCGGTCCTAACTGCACTCATCATCATCCTTGTCCCCAGCTCCCCCTTTCGTCTGGCTTCCATCTCCCACCGGCTTCCTTTATACGTGCTGGTGTTCCTGTACCACCTGTTCGGGGGAATGTGCAGTCGTCGCAATGTACTACTTCAACAGCCTCATCAACTTATTCACAGGGTAGCCAGCACGGGAACCAGGAGGCCAGTACGTCTAAAGACGATGTCGTTATGATCGACCTTGACGATTTGCCTTCGCCGACGCACCCCGAGCGAGAATCGATCAGTCACCTGCGAGCACAGGCACACCAATCGCAGTCAAACGGGGATTTGGTCAGGATGGCCCAACATGCATTTCCTAGTGTTTCCCCTGCGTTTATTAACGTGCTGTTAAATCAAGGAAATTCTCAAGAAGCTCAGGAATCAGACGCTCAAGGTTCCCACAAAACTATCACTCACGGTTCCAAGTCCCCAAATGAGCATCGTTCCCAGTCTTCTACCGCTCAATCCAAAGCAGATTCCGAAGCCTTAGACGTCGACATTAACTCGTCTGAGACCAATGTTGTGGACAGCACACAGTCAAAAAACGGAGATGCCGCTGTAAATAATGTCAAAGTGAAAAAGGTCGTTGCGAAGACTCCTAATCAGGAACAGATCGACTTACAATTGTCCTCTCCGCCAATAATAGTAGAGGTATCATTGGAGTCTGATCAACTTGATCAGTCGAGCCAACAAGAGAAGACGGGTGTGTCATTATCACCCACCCAACCCCTAGTGGTAGACGTTTCAGTAGCTTCAGATGAGCTCGAAAATTCAGCCTCACAAGGGGCAGATGCAGCCTCTTCTTAATCACCCCTTCCCTGGTACAAGAAAAACTAGGCATTTATCTTACTTGGAGGAAACCAGTAGAGGCTTGACAACCTTTGGGAATGGGTGGGTGAACAGTTCGGTGGAAGATTCCATTGACTGAAATACTTCTAGTGATACATGGGTTGCATACCGTGAGGCAGTCCTTATTGAAATAAGAAATCAGGGTTATCTTTTGGCAGTATTTTGGCTTTCACCGAATTTTAAATCGTGCCTAAAGTGATAGTGCAAAGGGCACGTGGCAATCCGAGGCGGACTTTCTTTAACTATGGGATTGGTTCGAGTATCAGCCAATCCGAGGAAGTGTTCGGCATTGGTGTGCTGAAGCTTCATATCATTTGAATCGATCGACTTCTTGGAGGTTGTGATCAAATTGTAGAAAGAAGGAGCAAGAAGGAAATTTTCAGAATTATCATTAGTTTTAATAGCATCACTATCATTATTAGTTGAAGTATTATTTTTATCATTAACAATGATTCCACGATTTACTTTGCTACAACAATTTACTTTGGTTTTTCCGCACTCATCTTTTTTTCCCTCAAACTGAGTCTTTACCACGACAAGCTTGACAAATGCCACTTATACAGACCTCACCAATCGTGTCGTTTTAAAATACCTAACTCTCACTGAGTCAAGTGCTAACCTTGATACCTTCCAGTTAAAGGTATCAAGAAAATTTTTGATAAACGCGAACGTTAATGATATGAATATTTAACTTTGATCAAAGGGAAAGTTATTTTTATTATTATTTAACTTCAGTATAACTAAATGCAGTCAAGGCAAAGACCTCTGCCCACACTTAGTGAACGAGAAAATTTCGTTAGAGCTTTTTGACGTTGTTTGCTCTTTTTCTCCGAATTTCACGCGGTGGAAAATCTCACGAACATGTTCAGACTACAGTATTCAGTGTTTACTGCAAGAAGAAAGTTTAGCCAAACCTTTCGATTTATATATAGGTGTATATTATTTTAACTGAGGAGATGTGCGATATTTGTAATAAATGCACATTCTTTTACTTTAAACGAGTTGTACAATCATTCTGATTGCTGCAAGAGAGCTCTTGAAAGTCATTTTTCGATGGGAGAAAGGGTTACACTGAATCAGGGTAATTTAGTGTTATCAACTGAGTTGATAAGGTATTGGCCTCTGTAAAGAGTTTCAAAGCGAACGTTTCGAGCGTTAGCCCTCAGAGGGATTCACACAACTCCTCCATTTGCTCTGACTCTCTAACTATGGGCTAACACTCGAAACATCAGCTTTGAAACTCTTTACGGTGGCTAATTTACGCTATCAACTCAGTTGATAAAACTAAATTACCGTGTTATACTCTCCTACCGACACAGAACCACAGTTTCTTTCGAAACTTACCCCCTTTATACTGAATCAGTTTTATAACGCAGTAAATTTGTAAAGCTTACATAGTGAACGAACACAAATGCTAGTCCCCAGGCTCTGTCCTTTGATATCATCTGCTGGAAGGCTGGGATAAGGGCGAGTCTCTCAGTGACGTCTTGGCTCAAGGGCTTAAGCGACTAGCGATGGGACTGATGAAGTGTTCGCAAGGAAGTGAGAATCAGAGTCTTGTAATTATTTGACATTTATCGCGCCAATTTATCAAATCTTGTCCGCGCATACGGGTCGCAACTTTGTTTTGACCAGAAGTCCTTGAAAACAAAACGTATACATGAGCCGATAATTATTACCTCCTGTACAGTATTTAACGTTTATATTCGCAGCATATAATGAAGAATCATACACAATTACGACCGCAGCATCGAAAATGATGACTGAAAAAGAAATTTATAAATTTCGCAATTTTTTAGATTAATTTAATTGATGTGTCGGTGTTAGAGCTTTTTTTTGCTGACTATAAAAAGCCGGACATCAATTCTAAAACTGAAAATGAAAATGCAAGCCATGTTTAGTTTCTCCATATTGTTAATTGGAGTTCCCATCTAATTTGTTATGCGCGTGTTCATCTATAGTTCTTGTCATTGTCACATGGATTTTCTTAAGGTCCCTGAAAGTGAAGTGACAAAAAAATGGATTGTCTGTGCTTTTTCTTTTTCAAAAAGCCAGGGTCGAAAGTGTACAAAGAAACACGTGAGTAGAGATTATTTTTAAAGCTCTAATGTTATCTTGAGTGAGGCATCGCTTTTAACAACAATTTCCTACCAAAAAAAAAATTGATTACATGTTCTCCATTTTACTCTCTGCTCTTTTATTGCATTAAATAGAAATCACTTATCAAGGTAAATAAGTACTCATGAAAGATAAAAATAGAAGTTGCATTAGTAAATATGAAAAGTCAGAAGATTAAAGGCGGCTGCAATCTACCCAGATCCATCTAATTAAGGTCATGTTATGTGCACAAGAAAATTTCTTCTTGGAAACCTCTTCCTATCGATTTTATTCGTTTTTATGTTTAATTTAGCATTCACGAGAAGTTCTGGAGAATCTGAAAGCAGTAATTGATTCGAAAGCGATGATTTGTCTTGTGTAAAACAACACACCGCTAAGGTGAAAGGTGTGCAGCTGTATTCACGGTTTTATTTTATGATCGCACGATACTTGAAAAACAAAACAAAACAAAAACAGAAAGAAAAAAAAACATACACAAAATTGTTTCCGGAATCCTGATTGGGTTGAAGAGAGCCTCTAGCATAGTAACCCTAAGCTGATTGGTTGCTTCCTGTCTTCATTGTTTTTTTTTTTTTCCCTCTCTTTAAGCTGAGTAGGATTTTAAGACACTGCGAGCTTTTCTCAAGCGCGTACTACAGAGTTTAAATTCTCCGATGAAATTTCTGTAAAAAGAATGCAAAACATTCTTAATTCTTAAAATGGCTCCTTTTCTCTGGGGAAGGGTCATGATTAAAAGAGAAGAGGAACTTGTGCATTTGAACACAAGGTCGCTGCAACTTCAGCGTAAACCATCTTGGAGACCGAAAAACCCTGTCCACTTCAAACAAGCGCTCACTCCGGCGACAATATGTAACCAGTTAATTCATCTCGATGCCTCATCTCAGTGGCAAATTATTTTCTTCAATGAAGCACAAACATATTCATCTTTGATTAGCAGTTGCAAGATGCAGTCATTTTTTTTCTTCCGCAGTGTAACCAAGTAACGAATTTAATTCGCAGTGTGACAGCAGCCGATTATTTCAAAACAGAGAAACAGAGTGCATTGAACATTCAGTTGTTGATTTTTTTAAAATTGTTTATTCTTTCCTTCTTTGGTTTGAAACAACCGCAATTTACAGTAGCTCGATCCCCAAGAACAAAGACGATTAATTATGTTTGCAAGAATTTTGTTCATATTTTATTCAACTGCCGACATTAGTCGAATTAAGATTAAATGCGTATGCTATTTTAGAACATTAGGTTCTGGAAACAACTTGAAAACTTATTTGGAACTTAGACAGTAAACTGAATTGTCTGAGATTTCACAGGAAATCGCCTTGAAATATAGACTACATGTTGATGCATTTACACAGAATTGACATTTTTAAGCCAAGAACATGTCACTAAATTTGACCAGGGTAAACACTTGTCTGAAGCAAGATCGCACAACGAGAAAACGTTGGCCGGATTTGCACATGTCACGGACCTGATATAATCAAACTTCAGATTAATTTGTACACTCAAAAATGCGCGTAAAAACAAATTGATTTTCTCGTATAATTAATGTTTCACTGATGATTGCTATGCCTTATATATAGAGGCGGTAAATTTTATTCGCTACTGATTTCATCAAAAAATAAAATTCATTCCCAGCTGTTTGAGTCCGGTTTGAAAAATCGAAACCGGAATTATGAATTAATGTGCGCCTGAAAGGCCTGTGCAAGATTAAAGCGATATTATTCAAAGACTGATCATTAAAATGTCAGTCTTACTATCCGTACTCAGGAAATTTTCAAGAAGTAATCTATGAACTTCTCATAAATCTCTAAAGATGTTTCACTATAGAACCTAACAGTAATTCACATATTTACAAGCAGAGTTTTCTCGGTAATAGCCGGGGATTATCACATTTCCTTTTTCACAATTATGCAAAACATTTAGAAGCTTTCCCGCATACGCGAACAGGCAAGCTTTTAATCTTTCTATTTCACTGGATTTAACTATTTTGAAATAGAAAATCGAGGAGGCATATTAACATAAGAATAGGGTATGATAAATTTTATAGTTTGCTGTTGAAACACAATTTAAAATAGATAAAGAAAAAAGCATGTAATCTAGGAATATAAATTTCTTTCTCGCCCTTATTTTAATGGCATTACTGATTTCCTATCGCTGTTTTTTGCTTAATTCTAATCTTGAGATTTACTGAAGATGTTAGGTTCATTTAGACCAAATGGATTTTTCGATTGCATCTTCATCAGTCTTTCACGGTTTCTCAACTGATTTCTGTGGATGAATTTCTCGTAGAAACATAGTTATCAGTTAGCGTCCTTAAATAATCGACAATGTCTTTGGGTTCTTCTTCAACCGATCTTTTTTTGACACACTTGCGCAGAATAAGAAAAACCTCTTTTCGCAGCTTTCGGTTGAGCAAAACATACACAAGGGAATCTAGTAATGGCCCTAAAAATACCATAAAATACACAGTCGTTTCCGTACCGGCGGAAAAATATCCTTCACTAGTGAAGCTGGTGACGATGTTGAAAATCGCCAGCGGACCTCTCGTCAGCAAAAAAGACCCAATGATTAGTGCCAAGGTAACATTCGCTTTCAAACTCTGAAAACTGTTTTTTGTTTGTGCTACCGAAGTGAATTCGCCATTCTGTAAAACCTGGATTTGTATATTCCCTGGTCGAACTTGACGAGCGCTATTGCGCGCGGTTTGAAAGCTCTTGAAATACATTATACACATCGTGAAGGACGTGAGAAGGAAACTCTCCATGGCGATAAAATAATAGTAAATAGAGTACGAGCCTTTAAGATCCAAACGGAATCTGCAGCCATTTATCGAAGGAACAAATTTGTACTTGAGTCCATCGATGCCGAAAAGAGGAAAAGCTGCCCAAAACGCAGCGCGAAACCAGTTGAATATCGAAGTGAAGAGGACATGTGTCGATGTAACTCTGGCAGTATGGCTCATTGGGTTAGCCAGTGAAAAATATCTGTCCACTGCAATAACAGAAATGAATGTGGCAGAGGAAATGGAGAGAAAAATAGTAAAAAATCCCTGAAATTGGCAAAATCCTTCACCAAACTGCCATGACTGTTGCGAGAGGGTGACTATCGAAAATGGAATCACTAAGACCGTCATCAAAAACTGTGTCAATGACAGACCTACGAGAAATAAATTACTGACTGTACGCATACATGTTCTTGGCAGTACAAGGCATAGGATAGCGGTGTTGGTTAGGGCAGCGAATACGTCCAGAACTGACAGCAAAACCACTGCTACAATACTCATATTTTGAACTTCAACCACTGTCTCGATGTTGTTTTTTTTTTCTTCTTTCCTTCGTAAATGTTCTTTATCTCGTACGTTTCACCTCGTATTTTTGTCGCTTTTTTACGTCATACGCAGACATCCATCACAATCTGCGAGTGGAGTTGATTATTTTGTCCTCAAACATTCTGAAAAATTCAATCAAATACACAGCTTGAGCCCTAGTTGCCTTGAACGTGCCCTACATGCTCTTTACACTGAAACCGGTACGTGAAGAGTTGTTCAGCGATCACCTTCTTTCCCTATGTCTGATAATTTTATTTGTTTGCTCATTTCCCTTTAAGCTGAATACAGTCTGCGCATGCGGGTCAATTTTTTTCCAGCGCTATATACGCATTTTATGTTTCACGAAAATGTAAATTAAAATATTGCATTTGCAAAGTTTCTGAGAATTCAATTTCGTGCAATAGTGTTCTATTTGCGTTCATGTCTTGCAAATAAACCTAAACGCCATTTATTTGCTTTGAAAGAGATCCCAAATAACTCAGGTTAGTCCTGTCGATATCCCGTTTAAACAAGACACAGTTTACGGAGATTATTAATGAATGGAACTTCAATTTCCGGAAGAAGGAAGAAAAGGTGAATTATCAGAATGCAGTGTAGGTTTAGTGCGCAAGGAGAATCTAAAGAAAAGGCTAAGTTTCCTCCAGTTTTCATTAAATTTTATGATGTTATAATTATCTGTCTCAACATCACCTTCTATCCGGAAAAGTCGAAAGGCCTAAATTATCGAGTCAATCTTTTTTTTTTCACGGATTTTGGTTTAAATAGAGAAGGGTATCCCTTATCATAAAAGTTTTCGATATCAAAAAAATAACGCATATTAGCAGACATTGATCAATGCGCATTCTAAATTTCCGTCCAAGCCACTCTGCTTGTGAAAAAAGAAATAAGATAATTTCAAGGTATGACGTGTTTCCCTTCGCACCATCGACAGATAAGAGACAAAACAGACGTTTACTGCATTCGCTGTGTACTTTATCCATTATATGAAAAACCAACAATTTCCTCTTGTGTAAAGTTTATAAGTAGCTTTCAACTTTGTTCGAGTATTCCGATTTTAAAATTCAAAGAGAAAGTATTTTGGCGCACAATTTTGCGACAAACAGCAGACTAAATTTCATCATTTAAAATGTACGGCTCTACGGCTCTGTTTGAGATTTTAAATTAAGTACAAGGATGAAAAAAGTCACAGTAAAAGCAATTTATACTTACTTGAAGTTTCTGGTTAGAATGAAAGTGATTGTAATCCGGTGACGAGTGATCCGCACGTCGTATGCTGTTCGACTTTAAGTAGAAAATGAAATGCTGCAAGAAGTTTCTTTCATTGGCACTTAATATATTATATGTCCGCCCAGGTGATTTTTTGTTTTGTATCTGAGGACAAAAGTAACACCGCTATGAAGATTACAATACCATCTGTTGTGTTCCTAAAATTTGACGAGATATATGTCCAAAGTTGTCAAATAAACAAGTGAATATTGACACCTTTAATTTTCACGATTTTTACGAACTGAGTTAATGAGATTCTTAGAATTGAATATTCGATTTCCGAAATGTAACTTTTGATCCAAAAATAAAAGCAAAATCGAAATTTTGGTAACTGTGCAAAAGAAAGTGATTCAAGCACGTTCTTTCTTTACACAGAACCAGAGTTTTTATTTTTTTTTTAACCCACGTAAACTGGTTATGACCAAATATCACCTTAAAAATACCGCTCGTGAGACAATTTATTAGGTTTTTCAGTATTATTTTGGTTGAACATTTAGCCCCCGTAATGAAAAATATTTTCTCTAAGAAAGCTATAAATAGAAATCAGTTAAGATTCATTTCCTTTGTCAATTTGAAATTCGAAAAACAGAAAAGGTAATTTTTTATCTTGGGTGGAGTTAAAACAACCAAAATTGCGATTCTGCTCTTAGATGTAGTAGTTTTGTTCTGTGGATGATCGAAAGCCTTTCTATGAAACAACTTAATTGTAATGGTATCTAAGAACTAAAGTTATGTCCTATCAAATAAAGATCATGCAAGTTAAAAATTACCCGTATACGGGTGCACTGAATACAACAAAAAAATTAGGCTTCACAGGGTATATACGGCAATTCTGGGCCATTTTTTCATCCTGACAATAAACTTCTCGATTAAATATAAAATTTACCTTAGTACTTTTTCTTCATGAGTGAGCAATTACAGCTTAGCGCAATGATCATCTCTCGGTGCAATTGCCGATCATTAGTAAGGTAGTATGTAATTGCAATCGACCCGCGTATGAAAATTTAGGGAGAAGATACTCGAAGTTTTTTTTCCGTTAATAGTCTAGGCCTAAATAGCATCGGTTGCTCACGGTTATATACATTTACAAGCTGTTTTTTATGTACTTAGCCCATTTCTTCGCAGCAAGGTTTTCAATCAGAAACTCACCCCCCACGGCGATTTAATTTACTGCTTGCCCCTTGCGAAATCCTATTTAAAACAGAAGTCATTGATAGTGTAATTCAGTTCCAAGTACATAATCGAACACAAAGTAGATGTGACAGGAGAGTGTGTGATTAAAATAACACTGAATTTATTTTAGGACGTAAAGCTGGTGAAAAGTGCACATTTTGAGACTACAAGCAGTAGTTTATGGCAACTTTACTCTAGCTTCAGAATACTGAGCCAATGATAAACCACTTTGACAAAAAGCTGTGATTAACTATGGTTGGAAATGGAGAAGGACTGAAGAAAATAAATCATCCCATATTTTTGAGAAACTTTACATGTAGACAATCTCATTTGTATACAGTCCAATTTTTTATTTTCTGAAATCATGCTAGGGTTTGATTGCAAGCTACGAAAAATAAAACTTTTTCAACAAAACGAAGTGGAACATGTGCTGCTGAATAGAAACATTTGTAGGATTTTCTCAGCAGCTGTTTGTCTATTTTGTGTTGAAAAAGTCTTAGTTATGTTATCTCGGGGCATATGTCGTAACGTCTGCTGGCCGTAAGGCAAGAATGTTCTGAGCTGCAAACATCAAACTTACATCATGTGGAAAAAACACGGAAAGGGGGGTGACCACTTGTGTACAGCTGAGTCCAGCAAAAAAAAAAACCACAAAAACAAACTGGATGGTCAAAACAGTAAAAGTTATAACTTGAAAATGAGAAAAAAAACATTTCTCAATAAAAATACTTACCCTTCCTCGTTTGCGTTCTCGACCAGTTCATGCCCCTTTCCAAACAACGTTCTTCTTCAAAATCCTGTTTCTGTTCAGAAACGTTTAGCCATTGCAGGAATTACGTTCTGTTTCAAAAAAAGGAATTCCTGCTACTATGCTTCAAAACCACATTTTCTTCAATTTCAAGCTCCCTTACCTAAGGACACTCCTTATTACAACAAAAAGTAAAAGTTCTCAGTTCTCAGTTCTCCTAAATAGGTCAAATAACCCGTTTCAAGATTTTCAAATTAGTTTTCAAATAACCCCAGTTTCAAGCAGAAGACAGCGTATCATATGCAATTTTGCATGGAAAAATCATTAAGCAGGAACTGATGTTACCGGATCATAACACGTAAAGAAGTAATTTGTATCAATATTTCTTTTCACAGTTTCCGGACAGCTTCAATAATGCGCCATCAGTACCCTATAGACTAAATAAGGCGCCAAAATTATCAATTCATTGCCACTTACTGGCTTCTGCAGAGAACCAACAGAACTTCTATCAGATAAAGGAAAAGAAAAAAAAACTCCTACGGATGCAGTGCCTAAACTTGCCGGAAATCCTGAGCCAGAGTTAGGTTCCAGCTCATCATTATTTCAATTTACAGAAACGCTTTCTAATCTTCTTAATAAAGAATGGAAACGCATCAAAACACTCCACCGAAAGTTTGATTTCAATTTCATCCGGCCGGTTATGAGCATTAAATTTTCAGATACTATCCAATACTTTCTTTCGTTACTGCTACTTGTTTCGGGCATGTTAAATAACCACCTTTGGTTGTTGGATATTGAAATATTGAATTATATTGAAAATATTGAAACCTCTCCACGCTTATTACTAAAAACCAACGCTACTTCATATCTCCTTTCCTGTTTTGAACGCAAAAGTGACAAAAGTTGAACAGTTAGGCCTAAATTGCAACAGATATTACGCTCAATGCAAGTATGTCGCACTTTAAAAGGACAGGGCAGGCGAGTGTAAACTTTAGAGCCCTTTCCACCAACCTTTTGGGAAAAAAGAGACACAGATATTTGCTTTAAGAAAGCAGGGGGCTCCCCATAACTTTCTAGGAACAAGGAAATATAGATTTGGGGGCGAATTTGTTACTAACATTGTGTTTTCTTCAAAGAAATACTCCTTTCTTTCTCTTGGACAATAAACCATTCATCTATGTTCTATGATTAGGTATGTTCCATGCCAAAAATGCGTTCTTTCCAGAAATCAGTCGCTCTCCAAAATGTACTGATTTTGATTGAAAAACGCCGGTACATCGATCGGCTACGATGATCGATTCGCATCTGAATATAGTTGTCCCTCCAAAAATAACGTGTCCTATTCTGAAAATACTTTTCAGTCCTCTTCATAGATATCTTTAAAAACCTGTAAGTAGCTTTTAAAAAAAGCACCATTTGACTCAAAATACTGTATCAGAGGAGTAACGAGTTGCTACTTACGTGTAATTTCTTGTGTGATTTTTGAAACTTGCATTCTATTCTCATGAACGAGTGTCTGGGTAATAATTTTCAACACTTCCCTCTTTCCTGAGGATCTCGCATCAGTTGTTAGCAACAACTGAAGAGATTCCTATCTACAAAAAATGTCTGAAAACAAGGTGAACACTCTCCTTGATGATATTGTTGCCATGCTTAGAAATGACATCAGCATTTTGCTGTAGCTAACATCCGAGTTAAGCGTGCTTAGCAGTCTGAAGTAAAATTAGTGAGTGATGACGCATCGTCTCTTTTTCAATTATTATTTCCCCTTTTTGTCTGGATCTGGTTTTAAAATGTCTCGCTCACCACGTCGAAAAGTCCTTCATCTGTGTCATCGTTCTTCGCTCAAAAACGACAAGCCTTACTGACGTAAACCAATCAGAGTTTTCAATTCAGTGACAACATGGATATAGAGCCCCTGGAATCCTTGAATGGTGCTAAAACAATTTCACCAACTTTTAAGAAACTCATAGTCATATATTAAAGTTACCCAACTGCCGTCTCATTCATTTTGCAGCATAACCAGCATAACGACTTTGAAGTCTAATTCACAGACGTCCCATGAGTTCCCAAGACGCGCGGGATATCCCTGGGTGGGGTTACTCAGCGTAAGAACTACTTCGAGTCTTGCCCAGGTCTCCCACGTTCGAATGAAATCAATCTCAGGGGGCTTTCGTTCGGAAGATTTATTTTATTCGTGGATTATTTGCAGGAGATGGACATTTTGAATATATCTGTGTAACATCTGACGAGCCAAGGACTGACTTGAAGTCATGAGATATGAAGTCACGTGTCTCAAACGTTCAACATTTATGAACGTAGAAGAGTTTCAGAGGTCAGCGGTTACTTTTAGGAGCCCAGCCAGCCATTAAGCTCAATAGTTGAGAGAGAACTTGTCCTTTCGTTCAGCCTTCTTTGAATGAGGAAGGGCCCTCTATCGCCCCGCACAGCAGGAAGAAGAGAAAGCCTGGTAACGAGTTTTTTTTATAGACGATACCTTAAAGCGTTTATCGGTAAAAGAATGATCGTCCAAACTTCCTCTCGGCGCGAATAAAGGGCCCCATCACAGTTATTATTCTCTTTGACATCATCCATTTTACATCAAACGCGGTCAAATATGGTGATTCTAATACGACGAGGAAGTGGCTAGAAGGAACCGAAAGAATCATCGAAAAATTTACAATATAGCAACAACTTTTTTGCATTTCGTAACACACAGGATTTCTTTGAGTAAGAACAAACAGTGCTAAGTAAAAAGCAACACACACGTCATAGATTCTTTCACACTACGTTTTATTATCATCTGAGATATAGGAATAAATTGATGAAAACAATCCAAATAAAATTGGCTTTTATAAACCTTTGTTGCAATAGTTTTTGGCCGTGGTGGGACTTTCGTGATCCATACTTAATTCTCTTCAGTTCAAGTAATATCTCAAGCAAATCATTTGCCATGTCAAAATGCGCATGGAAATGATGGCTTGATTCAAATACAAATAATAATGAACCAAAACGTTACAAATTAAAATGCTGACTGTCTGGATAATTTGCACTCTATCATGAATTCAAAGATTTCTGGATTCCACTGACGATTTGTAATAATTTTATCATTGTATAATTATCATACAACACATGAAGGCAATGATCACAAGACAGTTAAGGAATTGTGTTCTCCATGAAGTCATGATAGAATACTGATCTACGAATTGTAGAGATCAATGTCTAAGAGCAATTCTTAACATATAAAAAGTTTATTTCAGTAGTCACTTAAACAAGAAAAAAGATAAAAGAAATAAATTGCATAAAAACGCATGAATTTTACAACGTCAGAAAACCACACAACACTGTAAATAAAAAGCTTACAACTTAGAGAACTTCCTTCCCAACCTCTCTCTTATTCCCCAAGACTATGTCTACTATCTATCTAGCACTCACATCATTCAAGCAGAGATTTTACAGTAAGTACTGTACATGTTCAACATAAAAAAATTATGTTTTTACTGTATTTTAAAAATATTTCCCAAGGTGTCCTACAATTTGTATGTAAAACAACCACAAGTCTGTTATGATAACTTTAGTTTACTGTCTGATCTCTCCTTTCCCATCTTCTGCCAGCAGCGTTCACAAAATAATTTACAAACAATTTTGGATGTTCAGCCTGAATCATAAGCCATTCAGTCACAAACATCTGACGCAGATCTCCAGTTTTTCTACTGAAAAATGTTCAAATGGAATCATCACAACAGCACGCAACCCTTCTTCTTCTTCTTCTTCTTAGTTTCTGGTGTTTTTCTGTTTATCTGTCTGACTAGGTCGTAAAATATTTCATTCACATTGATCTTTGATTTTGCAGATGTTTCAAGGAAGGCGCTGAAAATAGCAAGTGGGATGAGAAAGTCAAAATGGCTGTAACACTGAGAACTTAACCCTTAACTCCCAGAAGAGATTAATGTGAAACTTCTCCACTAATATACATACATCAACCAGCAAACAGGCAACAAGGATATTGAAACTTATCAGGTAGAAGCTGTTATCTTGATCTAGCACTAAGTTCTTATCACTAATTTACAAGGAAATGTTAAGCAGCTAGAGAGCAGAATTAACAGTCATATCTTGAGAGTTAAAGGGTTAAAAGTAAAACCTACATGGCAGTGAATGCTATTCTTGAGAGGAGGGTGGGAAGGAAACTTCTGCAAATATCATGCAAGGGGAGTTTGATAGCAACACAAATTTTTCAGAGCACTTGTTTGTGATTTTTCATTTCATTACAACCCATATCCCTTATTCCATTCCTTAAGGTCTCTAGCCCATTCTCCAAGCTCCTGGCTCAACAAGCAAAGTTGTTTACCTATGTCCCTCATCACTAGCCAGATATTTAGCTATTTCTCTTTGTTAGTCCATTTTTTTTGTCCTTTTGTTTCCTATGATATGGTTTGCCAAGAGCTCTGTATATCCTGATTGCATTTCATAACATTGTGTGTTTCCAAAAAAATGCATAAAATTTTCTGTTGACTACTCCTTCCCCAACTAACATGTTGTTACCCTCTGATAGATTGGATCTTACATAGACACTCACCAGTTATTAAATAATTTTGCTAAGTTTTGTCCTTGGTCTTTCCCAACCACTCTTTCATCTTCCAAATCACATTTATTACCAACAAGGACCATTGGAACCTATGTAAAAATTAACACATGTAAATAGTTCTGTTTATGCTTTATATCACCACACAGCTTTCAAATTCTGTATTTTTTGTTGTTGCTGTTTTCTTTTAAAATATAGCTTGTTTGCCACATAATGGCTTCTTAGTCTCTCATTTACCTGCAATTTGATTTTTTACTTGAAACAAGTCTTGAAATCTGGGTCAGGTTGTTCAAAGCTGGATTAAGATAACCCAAGGTTAGTGTGAAATCTGATTTGATATCTGATAGCTTTAAAAGAAAATTCAGTCAAATTCTTTTTGTCTAGAATATGACTATTTGGCTCTAAAAGGAAGACAAGAAATTATCCCAAAAAGGCTTTTGAATAAAGGAATAAAGAAACCCAGAATAAAATTTAACCTTGGGTTAACACTTAACTGCCTTTGAACAACTGGGTCCTGATTGGTTGCATTGTTTGTTATGAGTCTAGCACTAATTATCAGAGTCAGACCCCAAGCAGATTTCTTGCTGGTTTGTGTATCTCATGGCCTCTTACTTTACAGAGGGCAAACACATGCTTGTACAGAAGCGTTAATAACATGGACCAGCTCACAAACTAAGGGATACATATCAGTCTTCACTTACATCCTCTGTGTCCTTCACTCTTAAAATCTGATCTCTCAAGTCCCCAAGGTCATTGAACGTAGATTGCGCTGTGATTGAGTAGACCAAAACAAAGCCTTGACCATTCTTCATGTACAAATCCCGCATGGCTGTAAACTGTTCCTGTAAATCACAACAATAACTCTGTGGAATCAGTGCTTGATTAGAGTTGCATTAACACTTTAACTCCCATGAGTGACCAAAAAAGAATTTCTCCCTAAAATTTCAAATGTTATCAGGCAGAAGAGTGATGTGAATAAAGAAAATTATCACTTAGGGGATTATTGGTTGATCTAAAAGGAAATTCTCAAAATTAATATGATGAGAATTGTAATGCTCAATTACAAGGCAAATAAAAAGGTTTACTTCAAAGACTGCTAAGGTAAGTTCTGAGGGTTTGCAATAACTATTCTAGTTAGCTTTTACTAAAAACATGGAAAACTAGACCACCGGAACACACCAGAAAACCTAAACATGCCAGAACACTTGAACAACCGGAAACATTGCAACATGCCAGAACATGCTAGAACACCACTTAAAATATCAAAAAAAAAAAAATAAAACTAAGAACCCCATAAATATTAATCACAAGAATGTATAAAAATCAAAACTCAAATTGTATTCAGTTTGCGCCCATTGACCAGTAACCTAATTATAGATGTTTTGGAGTACTAGTATCATGGATGCATTGTAGTTGTGTTGTTCTTCATCCAACATGGAAAAAAAAGTATTTTATAAGTGTACCATTTTTATTTTTGCAGCTGTAATCTGCAGTAATCACCTCAATCTTTGGTCATGTCTCTGCCTTTTATATTACAAAAAAGAAATTACGTTTTTTTTGGTCTGTTAGGTAGCAATCTATTCTGTAGTTTTCTATGCTGTGCAAAAATTGGATAACATACCATAATTTATGTGTAAATTCATTATTCACTTATTCCTCATCACAGACTTTTTTCTCAGTTTGCTGTATTCAAGTTTCCTGAAAGTGGGTTAGTTGGCAATTTTCAGTGTAGAGGCTTTGTCGTGTCTCTCCATGCAGAGATTTTGGTCACAAACTTGTTCAACTATTTCACCCATGTTGCACATACTTTCCATTTCTTTTTCATTTGTGTTATTTTTAACAATGTTTTGTGGCGTTCTGGCTTGTTTCAGTGTTCCAGCACGTTCTGGCATGTTCCCATTATCTAGAAAGTTCTGTCGTGGTCTAGTGCAGTCTAGTTTTAGTACTTACCATTCTTGTGAGATATTTAATGTTAACAAAAAGGTACAAATATTTGTATAAAACCTTTAAGAGTACTCTATTAAACAAAGTTAATATTTCAAACCAAGGTAAATGTTTGTCCCTATGTAAAGGAAACTTCTGGAAAATAGAATTACTACAGTTCTTGGGGTTGGAAATGTGAGAAAGCTGTGTTATGAAGGGTTTGATGATGTTGGCATCTTCCCAGTTTGAAAGTAAACATGAACTTGTAGATAACAAATGGGTATGATTGGAATCTGAACACTGGGTTGTGAGAAACATTTAAGTTTTAACTAGTATAAAAATATTTTTACTCCGTTTACAGAAGGGAAAAGACCAAGTGCAGTCTATTTATGTTAGATATCTTTCCAGCAGGAAGATATTACCAGCTGCCAAAATGTGATATATAATTAATATAATTTTTCACAAAAATATGCAATATACAATCTAAGATTACTTTGAGCATTTTTCCTAGACTACCACAGTCATATTCCTCTTGGTTTGTTATATGTGCCAAATTTTTACAACCAAATGCAATTATATGACAAATAAATAACACCAATTTGTTTCCAAAACATTTATGAGGACAGAAAAGCTACCAAATTTCATGTTTAGAAGCCAGTACACAAATATATAGACATTAATCTTAATTAAGATTGGATATGGGAGTAACTAGCCATCAACCATCAAGCATGTGACAAACACTTAAACCAAACCAATTATTTAACAAATTTTGAGTGCCTTCAACTCCCAATAGCCAGATATACACATTTGCTAATAATAATGTCTCTCCTTCTGGAGTTTATCACATATCTTTCCATAAAATCATTATCAAACCTAACCTTAGTCATGGGTGAAATTTTTAAGGAAGAGCAGGCTCAATATCATTTTTTCTGACAAACATGATTGTAAAATTATTGGTTTTAATTTGCTTATCTGGCTACACGCAAGATGAACTAATTAGAATATTCAAACCATAAATAATAGAGGGGTGAGATTAAGTATTTTCAATTTAATTAGGGCTAATTACTTAACACGTAAACCTTCTTGCACGGCAGACAGGCTGATTAAATTCTGAGTAAAAGAGAAAATCCAGAGAGAGTGAAAATTTTTGACAAACATTCTAGGTTCCGATATTTAAATTTTTTTCCAATTTCTCTTTTGCAAGCACACTCAAAATAAATAAAATATGGTTTTGCCGACATCAGACTTCTGCACCTAACCAATACATCACCGAGCGATTAGAGGAAAATTTTCGCACACCAAAGCTATTCCTGTTTACATAGCTCCGAAGAAGTTATAAAATGCTATGGGTAAATAGAGAAGTTGTTATGAGTTTTGTAACAGCAAGCTGTTCATTTGACAAGAAATATACATATTCATGGAATAAAGTTGGATTGATACTCTTTCCCAACCAACTTTCTCAAAATAGTGGTCCAACTTACCGTTCCTGCTGTGTCCAATATTTCCAGCATACACTGCTGCCCGTCGACTTCAACTTGCTGGGGTAAAAGAACAAAAATTTGACACGAAATGTCAGAAGAGAATATCGGCTTGTGAAAAACGGGCGCCGGTCGACATTGATTCTCACTTCGAGTATACTTACTTTTCGATATGAATCTTCGATCGTCGGGTCATACTTTTCGACGAAAATTCCTTGCACAAACTGAACAGTCTGATAAAGAAAAAGAGAAAATACAAAGCTTAATAAAAGATCTAATCACTTCGACTGATACAGTTTAGAATATTGCTGCTTCTTCATATTCCTACCGTGAGAAATCAATACACAGAACATCAATTCTCGTTTCATAGACAGATTTAAAGGAGTTTCACGCTATCATTACCAGAGCACTCTTGCCAACTCCTCCAGAACCAAGAACAACCAGTTTGTATTCACGCATCTTGGAAAGGAAACTTCACTTCGACACCTAAAACATGAAAATCTCATTGAGACACCGCCATAGCATGGCACTGACGAATGTTACGAGGCGAAAACTGGCAACGGTTCGCGCGTCGCTGCCAAATAAATCAAAATTGTTATGTACAGGGATGAATAAGAGCAAGAAACGACAAAAGGTTACCTTCAGCAGGCTGAAACAACGGTTGGTTTTTTAAAAAGAAAACAATATACACAAGCTAGGACGCTCCTTCACGACGATTCGGAGCAATACGAACGGGTGTGTACGTCACTCTGGACGAAACTGTTTTATATAGCCTCACTTTCAAACGGCTATTTTTGGCACTGACGGGGAGGTGGGTAGAATGAAATACTTAGTCACCCTTGGACGGTTTTTGCCTTGTCATTTTAAACAAGTATTTGGGGTATAACGTGTTACAAACACAAATTTTTCATCCATAAATTGTATTTTATACAACTAACTAAGGCCACATGTCGCATTTTTCTCCGTATCAAGCTAGATTTGTAACAAATATTTTTAATTAATATTTTTAAGTGTTGTTCATTTTTATTGGGAGTTATATTATAGTTAATTACCCAGCAAGACTTGCACACATGAAGAAAAGATGGCGCTGCGGAAGAAGCTTGAATTTAATTGTGTCGGTTTAGTTTTGCAAATAACAACGAAGCCCTTCATGAGGGTGGAATTAGCCGCTATTTAATTTAAGACTTTTAAAATCATGATATAAATAGCAATCTCAGAGATGGAACCGAATGAAAACAATTCCTTCCAGGAGGTTGTAGGTGACTCGAGCTCGAGTGTAAACGGTACTCTAAAGAGGCCGTCGAAATCTCGTTCTCGGGTTTGGGAAAAGGTTGTTTGGTTTACTAGAAAAGCAAAAGGAGGGAAAGACAGCAAAAGTGCTGGAGCAAGCGCTGCTGAGCTGCTGAAGAGCAGCACAAACAGTAATTTGGACTTAGTTCGTGATCCGAGAGAACTCGAAGTTGAAAAGACTTCCAGCAAGCATAAAATACGGAAGAACCGAAGCATCAAATATCTGAAACGACGCAAAGAAAGGCAATTTGGCGACGATCTGAGCCCAGAAGTTGTCGAAAAAAAAGTCACTGTACAGGAGTGCGGAACAGCGACGGGGACCTTCCATGATTTTAACTGTGAGAGGCGAATGTCCCGATTACATAGAACTTCAAGCAACAACAGCTTGCTCAATGAAATAGCTAAGGAAATGAACCGATCACCGCTGAAAGCCAAAGAGAACGTGAAAAGCGTCTTATCTCTCCCACTACACGACTTGTCATTAAATGAAGGAAGAATTCCTGATAATATCACTGCTCCAACATTTCCTCCAGTTCGACGCAGTGTAAGCTTTTCCGGACCAGCTTATAACAGCTGGCCTCGAAAGAAAAGATCACATCTTGAAAACTCCTCAAACGCTCATCTGCTTTCACCACCTTTGAAGCAAAAACGTGTCACTAGTATAAAAAAACGAGCATCTTTCAGCGGATTTGATTCTTCAAGAGTGCAACAAAACTCTTCTTTGCCACAGTACCGAGGAGTGAGAAGCACCCCTCATTTAACTCACTTAGAGCACGGTGGGCACATTAGAAATCAGAATGGTTTAACTATTGGTGCAATTCACTTCTATAAAAGTCCAGTTCTTTATCAAGAAGAGGCAGCTCTTAAAATTTTACAACCGAAGATGCAGGAGAAGTTAACATGTGACAACTCTTTTTCTAAATGCACAAGTCCCTGCAGTTTGACTGTCAAGTCTGATTTGGAAAATGACAGGGCAATAACAGTTTCATTAACAAGGGGATCAGACATCATTACCCAACATCATGATACAGCTGCTATTCCAAATCATGAGATGCTGAGGAAAAATGAGGATGAGAACAAGTTGGTCCATGACGAACTCATCAGCAGCACTCAAGTAGCAAACTGTTCAAACAACTTTCTTAGTTTTGCTGTTAGAAGCAGTGAAAGTCAAAACTCAACCATTTCTGCTTTTCTGTTAGAGGGAGAGTGTTCTAGTACCTGTATGACATCTAGTCCTGTTGATTCTTCTGATGAGGATTCAGAGAAGGAGAAGCTGTCACTGCCAAGTGATTCATCTGAGTATATGACACAGGTTGATTCTGTAAATGAAGACGTTGATGTGGTGAAGTACAATTATGGTGATTTTACATCAGAAGATGGTATTGTGCATGAAAATGTTTTTGCAAGCATTGACAATAACAAAGCTATAGATAACCAAGATCATCATGCCAGGGTCCACAAATTGGAAGCTGTCCGACAACATTCAGTTTCTTCCATTATCAATGGAGATAGCTCCTTCCCTGCAGTTGTGTCTGGCGTAAAATCCATTGATACCAGAACAGAGAATGAAATTTGTGCTACAGCTCATTGTGATGCACAAAAAGGTACAGCTCTTGCATCCCAAAAACTTTCTTTGATGGATGAAATTAGAAGAGGTGAAGTAAGGACTTCTTCTCCTGGTCACTATGGTCATGGGCAAAGTTTATGGTCAGGAAATCAAATGATTTGGCAGAGAAAGCCTACTGTTGATGGACCACAGTTTAAAAAGCGCAGTGAGGTAACTCCTTTTGAATTCCACCTTTTTTTTTGCATTTAGGAAAGTATGGCAGATTGAATTCTGTGGATGCTTGATTTGAAAATACTGTGTAAATGGAAGTTATTGAACATAGGGTAGAATCTGCCCACTCAAAACTCCAAAAGAATTCCAAAACAGGTTTGTGATTGAGAGAGTTTAAAGTAAACTGGTAATAGATTGAAGATAAACACACAAGGAAATAATTGAGAGTTTTGGTCAAAGAGAAGTCCTAGTAGTATGAGTTTTAGTTTGCGAGGTCCTATTTTAGACTGCAACCTAGCTTGGTCAGCAATCAGTGTTCTCCTATTCAGGGGGTAATTGGTGAAATTTACCCCTGTAGTACCTCTTATCAACAGGCACAAGGATTGCTCTATGGGTTTGACATGTTTTTTTTACTTGTCTTGCTTACAATAAGGAAGAACACCAAGTAATTAGATTGAATGTTGGTAAAGAGCCAGACTACTGTGAGGAAGGTCCAGGGTTTCAGTGGGCCAGACCAGAAGAACATTGTTATTTAGAAGAATTTGTTAGTGAATCAACTAACAATGATCCCCTAATTGATATTTTTCTTTATTCTCATCACTTGTCTGCTTGATATTGTATTGATATTGTAAGGCACAATTCATTCTTAGTCACTCATGGGAGTGGAAGGGTTTAAAAAAAGCCTCGCAAAGAAGACATCTATGTAATATTATTAATGGTAACTGACATCATTCCAGACATAAAAGTATTTTCCAAAGACCCTTTTTTCTTTAGATTGTTTCAAATTAGATTTCATTAACAATGTATTAACATCCAGGGTCCAGTTTTACAAAGGTCGGATAAATGCTATCCAATAGATAAATTGCTATCTGGCAGATAAGCAATAGCCAAACATATGGCATTATCCACAGTATAGAGATTTATCTAGTGGATAGCATTATCCAACTTTCGAAAAACTGGGGCCAGTATCGCTATAAACATTTTTTTGTGCATTATCAGTTGGAACACATTCAAGGCTAATCACCTTTTTGGAACCTATTTCTCTATTTTCAGGATATTTTGCAGTGGTTCCGAGAATTTAATGATGAACAGAAGAACATTTTAATTCGAAAAATTCTGGTGAGTTTCTTACTAATAAAATGATCTCAGAAGTATCATTAAAAAACAGGCATGCTGTGATAGTTTAAAGCAAGGCTGAACAGATCCAGGTCTTGCAGTTTTTTTTTTCTGTATTGTTTGCATTTCACTCTGTCTCTAAAATTCAGCAATTAGGGGCCATATACTATTCATAACTAAAAATAAGTGTTATCATAATAGACATTTTTAGCTATGTGGTCACATGGTTTTAAATGGGTAAACAAGAATTCAAAATGGCCGCTCAAGTTTGTGCTTTTAACAATATCTCCTATGTGACACTGTTTTTTCTGTTGCCAAAATTTTCATATTTACAGATGAATCAGTGCTCAAACCACTGTGGTAATATAGAAATCAACTGCATAAGAAAGGCATTTGAAATTGAGATTATAATCACCTCAAGCTGGAAAACAAACTTTTGAGCATATGATCTATAAAGATTTAAAAAAAAATCTATGAAACAGGTGCAAAAGGGAAGCAAATGTATCACAAACTTTATGGTGATTTTGCAATTTAAGGTTAGAACAAAGCTATATTTTTTCGAAAACTGTAACTTTCCTTTGTTTCATGTTAATTGTATGCTCTGGTTATATGACTGGCAGCCAGTCAAATTTTTCAAACAATTAAATGACCAACAGTCTGATACTTTTCTGAAAATTTGACAAATATGTCAATGAGGAACTGCTTAGAGATCTTGAGGGGATTTATAACTCTTTTGTTAAAGCTTGGTGTAGGCTTTCTCAGAATACAGAGCCATGGATGTTGACACTTGAGAAATTGCACGAGGTCCACTGCTGATCATGGTTCTCAAATGACTAAATGACCCACAGTTGCAAATTTTTCTGAAAATTTCCAGAAGTTGAGAGAACCTATTCTATCCAAAATACTATCTGTCAATGAGAAACTACTAAGCATTGTCGAAGAGATTTATAAATCTCATGTCTAACTCTTGGTTTATGCTGACTCAGAATACTTAAAAATTAAGTGAGGTCAACTGCCGTCTCAATTCTCAAATAACTAAATGACCAGCAGTTGTTAATTTCTCTAAAAATTCAAGAAATCAGGACAACCTATACAATTCAAACTATCCTATATCTGACAAACATAAATTTCTTTGACCAATTGAATTAACAATTTCACAAGCAAATCCTGATAATGACCTCAAACCTCTCCACACAGCCACCCAAAAATTAAAACTTTCAGGAAGTCACATACAGTGTACATGAGTTGAAAATTCCTCAAGGTAACATAGAAAAAGGATTAATTTTCTTTAAAACCAAACATAAGCTTATTTTACCCATCCAGTATCTTTCATGTCCATGAAATGTTCAGAAGAAAATGAAAGTGTATGATTTCATTCACGAACCAACTTTAACTTGCATTATAAAGGAAAGGGATATGGTGGTCAGGAATCTGTTGACTGTTCCACACATTGTACATAATCAACATCAAAAAGGAAAGTGTCACCATCTTTCATCATGAAAGACAAGATGGAGAACTTCATGTTTACTTGAAATTTCTCTTTTCTCTGACTTCTTTCAAAGATGTAAATTTTCCCTAAACTCAAAGTGAAATTTCCAAACTTTTCCCATGCCTTGAAGTAATCCCTTTTTCCCTGGATTTTCTTGACCTTTGACAGCCATGCCTAATATTACTGTGTTGGAAATGAAACACTGTTTCTTTTTTAAATAGCCTCTGGCTGACCATTAAAACAATGGAAGACAGGCACTGTCTTTCAGTCTCCAAGATCAAATGCCTAACTGAAAATTCTGGTCTTTTAAATGTTCAGAACACACTTTGGTGGTAGATGTTACTCTTAAATATTTATTTTGATCTTTTTTCATTCTAAAAATTTCCATTTTTGTTTTAAAAGAAACTGATAAACAACCATCACAATTAAAAATCAAGACTAGATGAAAAGATTTTTCTGACCACACTTTGCACAAATTTAAACACAAATAGGTGAGACTATTAGCTGAAGAAATATTAACAGCAGAATTTGTGGATAATTAATATTAAAGCAGTTACAATGTATAATCTATGATTTTTGAAGCTAAAAGGTATATTGCAGGTAAAGGATAATTTTGTTTGTAACCCCTTCTAATGAGCTAATTTCATTTTGTATGGTATTATTTATTAGCTTAATTAGATGCTAATTAACATTTCTAATTGATTTTGTAAAGCTTCTTACTTTACCATAAAATATCTCCTGATTTTCATTATGTTCTTGCTAATAATGATAATCTAGGAGCTTATGCTTATTTAAAAAATATCTTGTATAAAAGTGCTTTATATCAGTAATATATGAGTGCTTAGATCAGTTTGGTGATGTTTTTTTGTTTGCATGTGGAAAAAATTGCCCCATTCACACCAAAGCTTAAACACGTTTAAAAGTTGTTTTGTTAAACACAGTTTAATTTTTTTTTTTTCATAGAAACTATTTGAAATATATGCTGCATTAAATTAATGTTAGATTGAATGAAATAAGATGGATGTAGTCACTCTCCAGATACTCAAATTCTCATGCTAAACAGTTTTGAAGTGAATATTTTGGATTTATAAGGCTTGAAATAAGCTGTCACTGCCTGTATCATTCCTCATGGGGTAAATAAATGTTACATGTATGATAGAAATAAGGAGATATCTGGCAGAACATTTTCAACCAATTAATGTATAATTATGCTAACATACAAAAGTAAATCATTGTTTTTAACTGCACTCTATAAACAAACATCAAAACATCAGTTTTCATTGATATTTTTAACTGCAATGACACATTTAAATTGGAATTCTAAAAATAAACATCAAAACATAAATATGTTATTTTTAAAGCAGATGTGAAGGAGGTCAGGAAAAGGTTCATAGCAGTTAACCTCTGGTGGAGAGAAAACTTATTTTCATGCATTTCTTTTCATCATTCTTTTCATTTTACTATTTAACTCAAGGAAACTAAAAACCAGAAATCACATTTATTTTAATGGTGAATTAATAGATCAGTTGATGTAACCAACCATAATGAAGGTGAGCTAAGGTAGGCTTGTTCTGTGACTGATAAAAAACACTTGTCCACTGGAAGCTAGAATGTAATTTTTTTTCTTATTTTACAGGAAGAATGTGAGTTGCCCCAAATGCATATGCTGTCTGTTGCCATGGAACCTGTTCTCCATAAAAGCTGCCCTCCAAATTGTCAGGATATGTTGGCTTGGTTACCACATCATGTGGCATTGCACATTCTGTCCTTTCTTGACTTAGGTAAGGTACTCAAATTGATGTTTTCCTTGTTGCAGGAATTGCCTCTTGTTTACATATGTAACAAAATGATTTCGAGTGCAATGTAGTGTTAATAAGCACAAGCAAATTTTTAAAGACAACTTTTACATGGGATTGAAAAACACATCACAGAAAGTCAAGACAGACAAAATTTTGGCAGTGCTCTTTGTAATTTTCACTTGTGTTACAACTTTACTATCATGTTATATGAAAAATGCACTCATTTTTAGCCAGTCAGACATATATAATTTTTTCATGTATATCACCAAGAGAGTTATTAGCATCCAAACACCAAAACATACATTCTACCATAGACAAAACAATGATCACACAATTCACTCTCAATCTCTTCATGCCAGAGAGGGCTACCAGTGAAACAGCAATTTGGCATAATTTATTTGTTATTTAAGGTGGTTTTGTTACTCCTGCTTTCTGCTTCCTATAAGATATGAGAATTTGAAAGGACTAAAAATGATATACAACATAGGTCCAGAGGATTAAACAGAGCTGGAAAAGCAGTTTTTTGCTTTATTTTATTAAGTTTAGTTTAATTATTATTATTAGTTTTTCATTTGAAGATTTTAGTTTTTAGTTTTTAAAAAACAGGACTTGCCTGAAAACCACCAGTGGATGAGGCAAACTGTAGAAAGACTGTGATTATTATTATTATTATAAAGCATATGACAACTGTCTTTTTTTGTGTAATTCAGAAGGTGTGACATAACTTACCTCACAGAAAAATAAGATTGGCTCTGAAGGTTTGGATGGGAAAAAAAATTGAAGAAGGCTGTCTGCAGTAGATCATAGTAGATGTTCTTATACCAGTGCATGTGTTTTGGTATTGAGACAGAGAGGACCATGGGAGTGAGCTTATACCAAATATGGGAAGGACTTATAGAGTTTAGTCTGGGAGGAGGGGTAATGATATTTTTTAGGAGGGTGTCGAATAGACCTGTTTGAATTTTGTTACAGAATCACTGATCAGTGCATGTATTTCCTTTAATTGGATTGCCACTGACTGCACAGAGATTTAATTTGACTTCACACAAACAGTGAAATTCTTAAATTGCTGTTTATTTTATGAGTATTTTGGGGTAGAGGGATGACAAATTGGCTGATGACTGGCTTCTCAGTTTGGCATTTTATTGTGTAGTTCTGTCATCTAAGTTATGGCATAATCAACAACATAAGGCTGGGCCAGAGATTATTGTCTTCCTTTATTGGATAAAACACACAGATTTGAATAAATATGAATTTGAATCACTTTTCTCCCAGTGAGTTTGTGTCGAAGTAGTCAAGTCAATCACACATGGAACAACTTGGCCAGTAACCCCCTACTATGGAAAAGTCTCTGCGGGTAGGTTTTAAAAATGCCTTGTTTCAGTAACACTTAGTGTGGTAAGTTATTTGCTTGGTGCTCATCTATTTGAGTGATATTGGACATTGTTTTGAATGCTTATCTTGCTTAATGATCTTTCAGATTTTAATGGGGTCTATACAGGGCCCAGGAATGAAATATGTCATCATTCTTGGCAATTTTCCATGAGTCAAATGAGTTAGGGGTCAGTAAACAAAAGCAACAATTTTTAAAGGGGAACCTGCAACTAATTAAATGTTGAATATCCTTTGGGAATAAAGAAGATGAGGTTTGAAGGGAACCAAAATTTTATTAAAGCTGAATTTATTTACAGGAGGGAAATGATGAGCATGTCAGAGGACTGGGCTAAGAGTATATTTTACATCTTTCAGTAGTAGTCTAAGTATTCTAAAAAGTAAGCTTCCAACATCCTTGGATTTTCAATGGGTACGATAGAATGAAAATCAATACCAGTACAATGCTGTGAATGTTTTCCTGTCTGTAGGCGCCCTGACTGGCAGTTATCAAGGATTGGGGAGGAGAAAGAAAAAAAGAAATACACTATGGCTGAAGGGACAGTTCAGGTATACTGCAGCAGATTTAATAATTTATTTTTCAATACCTTTTCAATAAGTTTTTAACCCTTTCACTCCCAAGATCTCAATAGTAATTCTATGTCCTGTCTGCCTTATAATTTTTGTGATACTAGTCTAGAGAATTTGGTATTAGATCAACTACTAATCCCCTGATGGCATTTTTCTTTATTCTCATCACTTGTCTGCTTGTCAATGTATAGACATTGTAAGGAGAAATTTGTTTTTGGTCACTTATGGGAGTGAAAGGGTTAAGTTCTATGATTATATGGGGTTTGAGTGTCATTTTTAGGCCATACCTATTAACAAAAACAATTATTAATAATGCTACAAAGGAAAAAAGTTTACAGTTATAGCTACTGTAACAATCACTTTTATTCTGTATTAGAATTATTAAGATGAGCGAAAATAGTAATTTTTACCAATGATATACTATTATTTATGATTGTGTTGTTAGTGGAAGAAGATGTTTGCATCAAGGTATCTTTTACATCAGAATTGGTTAAAAGGAAAGTGTAATGTTCGCACATTTGAGGGCCACACCCAAGGTAAACTTCTTGTTTTGAGTATGTTGCCTTCCTTAGGCTGTTAAAACATTGTTTCATTTTATGAATTACTAATAATGATTTTCATCATTAATTATTTTACTACTTCAAAGTTTTTTAATATTTTTGGGATGGAATGCAGTTTAGAGAAAAGCTCTACCATTGTTAAAATTTGTGGAAAAATTTAAGACAATTCACAATTATAGTCACTGTGATTTGAAAGATTTTTCAAACTTGACTTTGAAGGACATTTTAATCCAGCTAAGGAGAGTTAACAGTGAAGAACAGAAATACAAATTGAAAATGGCAATCTTGATTGATTTTGGATAAAGTTGTGAGATGCACAAACTATGACAAAGCTTACTTGAATTGACAGGTTCCTTTCCTTATCTTAATTTGTATCTTCCCACCCCTCCCTCCTGACTTTTATAATGATATTTTGTGTTAATACTTGGCTTGTGTGGTTATCTTAAAGATTGGCAAATGTAGTTGAGGTGGGGATCAAAATGAATTAATTTTATTTGTAGGCATCTCATGTGTTCAATTTGATGACACAAGGATTGCAAGTGGTTCCTATGATAAGACTATAAGGGTCTGGGATATTCATAGCGGTGATTGTGATGTAGTACTGACTCTAGCTGGTCACTCAGGGACAGTTAGATGTTTAAATCTTAACGGAAACAGATTGGTTAGTGGGTCTGTGGATAGATCCATTAAGGTATGTTGAACATCAGTTATACCTGGTCATCCCTTTGACCTTAGGAGTGACCAGCATCTAATTTCTCATTACAATATCATCCCTGAATCACACGTTAAGGTCGTAGGAATAAAGGAAATGATCACCAACCAAAAAGGCTCTTGATTGTAAAACAAATTCTCCTTGTCAGCACCTCAGGATGCTATGGAGATTGATATGGAGAGTATGCATACTGATGTTAGGGTGTTAACCTTTTAACTCCCATGAGTGACCAAGACAGAATTTCTCATTACAATATCAATACAATGTCAACCAGATAAGTGATGAGAATAAAGAAAAATATCAATCAGGGGATAATTAGTTGATCTGATACTAAGTTCTCTGAACTAACATTATAAGAATTGTATGATTGAGTGAGGAGAATTACAAATTTGATCTGGGAGTTAAAGGATTAATGGTTAATTTCTGCTTATTTCAAATACTGTAAATTTTTTACCTTATAAAGGTGTGGGATCTGTCATTCAAGTCATACTGGAGTGGTGCTTCATGTAAAGTGACTATGGTTGGTCACATGCACACAGTCCGTTGCCTTCAGGTAAAGAGCCTGCCATCTTCAAAAATTGGAAAACTGCTCCATGCCTTCAGGCGAAAGTCCCCCACAAAATGTTTAAAGTACATTAGAGCATACTCATATGGAAAATGCTTGAGATAAATGTATATTTATCATTATCATTATCATTATGCCATAAAGGACTTTCTCCATATTTACATTCATGAGCCTCATCAAAGCACTGAGTGACCTCAGGATGGAAAGAACTTGAAACAGTTCTGAAAACTTGAGAGGCACAACTTTAAAATCTTACAACTTAGTTAACAAGCTCTCATCTCAACACCCAAGCTGTTCCTTTTTTTTGTTTGATTTATTTTTTTTCTTTAACTTAGCTTTGTTAAGGGGAGATTAAAAATATTATGATATGACTTAAAGTTTTTTGAAATTAACAATTACTTGCAATGTCTAACATGAATGCCTTAAGAAACAAATTCATTTCCATAATTTTTCATCTCTGACACCAGGTTGATGATGAAAAGGTAGTGAGTGGGTCATATGATAAGACCCTTAAAGTCTGGGACATTAGGACTGGAAATTGCCAGCTAACTTTGAGGTAGTGTATACTCTCAAGTTGTTCAATGTTATTGACACTTGAAAATAACCAATGTAAGAATAATTAATGATTATGACATTATTTTTGTATTCAGAGGTCATAACGCTGCAGTGCTGTGTGTTCAGTTTGATGACAGAAAAATTGTTTCTGGATCATATGACAAGACTATTAAGGTAAGCAACAAACTTCTAAAGCTAGTAGAAAATTCATTTGTTCATCAGTAATAAAGGAATTTTGCCTGCCTACCAAGCTACAAACCACCCAACAAACAAACTAAAGATTTCCTTTTGTTTCTATTGAAAATCAGACTGGAATGAAAAAAATACTGATTGATTTATACCTGAGTAACAACAAACATAAGCTAAGTGGGTAGTCAGGATGTCCATACTGATACAGCTAAAATAATTTAAGATAATTATATGAAGTATTCTCAGTTTTCAATGTTAGTGACTTAACATGACAGTACATTTGACAAAGCAACCAAAATGATTAAAAGCATCTTTCTCAAGACTCCACTTGCTTTATAATTATAATCATGTTGGTGTTTCATTCACAGGTATGGAGCCTGACAGAGGGTTCATGTCTTATGACACTGACAGGCCATCATGATGCTGTCACTTGTTTAAATTTAACATTTGACAGCAGGAAGGTTATCAGTGGCTCATTGGATCACAATCTTAAATTTTGGGATCTGCTGACTGGAAAGGTAATCAAATGATCACAAAGATCACTGTTTCCTTGTGTTATTTTGAGAGTAAGTAGCCTTTCTCTTGTTAATGATGTGAAATTGTTTGATATAATTTTTTACCTTTTCATCTATTTTAGTGCATTGGCACATTGGATTGGATCAGATCTGAGGGTCACACTGGTGTTATAAGGTATTTAAATAAATAAATGGGAATGGGAATTTAGCAATGGACATTCCATTAGGTGGCTCTACTTGTCTACTGTTTCCATGTTAAATTGGAAGTTAGAATGTTGTTTTTTGTGAAGGGAAGAAAACCCAAGGAGCTGGAAAAAGATACCTTGGAGCAGAAGCAATAACCAACAACAAACTCAACCCACATGTGACTCTAGGTTCGGGAATCAAACCCAGGCCACAGCAGTGGGAGGCAAGCACTCTCACCACTGCACCATCCCTGTTTCCCAAGATTAGATTAAATTACATATTAAAAATTATATAACATTGATAGTATTTTGCATGGAACTTCATATTTTGGTTAACTGCCATGATGTTGTGATACACGTGTTATACTCATTTGACAGATGTCTTCAGACAGACAGTTGGAGAATAGTGAGTGCAGGGGATGACAAAACACTGAAGGTAAAATTGTGATTTTAGTGAGCTGCTGTTCGTACAAATTAGCTTGGCCACAAGTTTTAATCCTTTCACTCCCTAGATCTTATTAGTACTTCCCCATACTGACTGCTGTACAATTCCTACATGGTTGGTTAAGAGAATTTGATGTGTGATCTACAAGTAATCCCCAAATTAATATTTTTCTTTATTCTCATTGCTTGTCTGCTTGATATTGTATTGATGTTGTAAGGAGAAATTCTGTCCTGGTCTCTCATGGGAGTTGAAGGGTTAAAGCAACAATCCTGAGAAACCAACACCTTTTGTAATAGAATGGTAGGATTATTGTTGGTGTCAATAAATTTTACCCTTAAGCTGTTTTGAACTTGCAACAAAGAGCAAGCCATTTTAATGATATTGTTGTCAGCCATGTGAAAATTACAATTATTGTTTTCCAACAATTCCTCTTTTTTCCTGGTTTTTTTTAAAAACAGATGTGGAGCTTAGAAAGTGGACAGCGTTTGCTGACATTGCGTTGTCACACAGATGGTGTGACATGCTTACAGTTCAATGATTATAGCATTGTCTCAGGTTCTTACGACAAAACTGTGAAGTTGTGGGACTTCACTCCTTCACATGAATTTCTGACACCTGGCTGAACAGATAGTTTTTTTCAACAGAGGATTCAGCTAGTCAAGGATATTTTGTTCACTAAAATTTTGCAACTGACACTCAACCATAGCTGAAATTGTGTCTTGGGAAGTTGCCATTTTGAATGGTGTTACAACAGCAGTTTGCTGTTGGAGAGGAAGATAAAATTTCTGGTCACCTTCCCTTCATCTTCCTTTGCCTTCAACCATTGGAGTCTGAGATTAATTTACTACTATGTGTGTCACTTCTCAAAACATACAATGCAATTTTCTATGGACAAACCCTGAATAAACAATTTTTAGAATAAACCCTGTGAGAGGAAGAGTTACTAGAATCAATTTTTGAATTAAAAAGACCAATGGAAGTTTTTGTGAAAGCTTCATGTTGGAGCAGAAATAGTTGAAAAGTTTATTTACCATGGTTTATAATTGATGATATAGAAATATTTATTTTAGAACAAAATCAAACCAATAAAATTATCTCAGGGTCTTTGACAAAAATTTCAAGTTGGGGGACTTCACTCCTTTGCAGATACATGTACTCACAAGAGAACCCTCTCTTTACGTGAAGCATTGTATAATTCACACTCTTTTCTTTGCTTTGTTCTCTTTGTAATCATCTAAGTAAGCAAAACTTAGATGTTCACTTGTTACTTTAAGTTCTTTATGTAGGAATACTCAACAGTATGAAAGGGAAAAAGATTTAAGTCCTAGTTTTTTGGGAACTTTTAAGAATTATATTTAAGAACTAGAAATTAATTTTTTTGTTTTGATTTTGTATATATGTTGGTTCACACCTCATAGCCATTAGTTTGATTCTTGACATATGATCAGTATTTTTTGAACAAAGGAGTACATACAATCAACAACTGGAATCAAAGACTATTAATTTCTGCATTTAAAATGTGTCACATTTAACTTCACCAATAAGATATTTATTTTAAACTAGGGTTAAAAGAAATTTTATGTTTGGATTGTGTTCACCTTCAGGGATGTTTTTCTACATTTTTTTACATTTAAGGTTTTGTTACACACATTAATCCTGCTGAGGGTTTATGATATTTTTGTACCAAACACTTTGCTAATGAACAGTTTGTTGCATTGGAGTTGTGCTGTGCTGGTGTTATTTAATATAGAATGTAAAGTAATATTGGTGGTCATTGATCATTAAAAATTATCAGAAGTTTAATAAAGTACTTACATCTCACTTGACCTGACTTTGACTTAAGTTTTAATATTGTTTGTGTTAGTTGTTTTTATGTTTGCACCATTCAGGACTGACAAATTTACAGTAATTTGTGGGACTGAGTGAACTCTAATATAGTTGATTTTCATATGAGTAGCTAACAAGTCACATTGCATAAAGCTAAAGTCCAGTTTAACCAGTTTGATTACAAACTTTATTACATTCATGTTGAAATCACTGGTGATCCTTGTAATCAGATTGGCTCACACTGGTACAATTTACACACAAACTGCACCATTGTTTTCTCTAAATTGCATCTTTTCCCCAGCCAATGAGGAAGCTGTACTAAAATACAACAACCAATCAGATTTTAAGGCTTTTTTTGAAGAAACCAATAAAATTGCAGGAAAATGAACGACAACTTCAGCAACTTTCTTCAAACCCCCACTCTACTGGATCAATAAAATATTTGTACACAGATAAAATAAAACCTATTTTATGAGCAACTGAATTTTGGGATTTCAAAATGGATATAATCAAGCCGTACCTGGACTTCATGTCATGCAATTTTGGTCTGAAAACATACTTGTGATTTCAAATCAAGGTGATGCTGTGCACTTGTTTGACTTTAAAGTCTCACAATATGATTTTACATCAAATTGCACTCCAATCAGTTCAATTCCTATTATAAATTAGACTTTTTTAGGTCCTATTATAACTGTAATCAGCGCCCACACTTCAAACCCTGCAGCCACCACTGCCCTGAGCATAGTGAAATGAAATGGCATCAGGAAATGGCATCATTCTGTATCGGAAAAAAAAATGAATTTTTCATTCATTTTCAACCACCAATTCTAGATTTTTTTATATGTAATGCTCTGTGACGTTACCCAAAAAACCTGTCTCCACGGCTCGCCCACATGTAGCCTGGAGGAGAGGGTACGGTTACACATAAGCTACTCGTTGATGTTGGGTGGATCAGAAATGTGGTTTTTTATCAGTCACTGTCTGTTCAGTCTCAAACCAATTTTCATCATTTCCATAGTTCTCATACTTTCATCGCACAAATCAGGCGCTCCAGTAAGATTTCTCGTCACTTCACAACACTTGAAGTGTTATGATCAAATAAGAACAAGTGTATCGCGTAAAATTTTTAAAGTAGCACATTGAGAACACACGACAGTAATTACAACATTTATTACAAAGAGAGACAAGACATTTACGGATAATTAATCCACTGAACATTTTAAAACGGCTACAAAACGAATCACAAGTACAGTAGGATACATAGAGAACATTCACAACGTAAAAATGAACAAACAGTGACCACACAATCACGAACAGCACCACACCGACACGAAACAACAATGATATTATAATCACCCGGATGATTTCAACTGAGCGAACGCTGGGGAGGAGCGTTTTGTTCAAGAAGAGACTGGACACTAGACATGACAAGCAATATGGCGGATGAGAATGCCAAAAGTAATGGAGATATTTCGTCTCAAAAACCTACTTGTACTTTCTTTAAGAAGGCAAATAGGAATCGAAATGTGCGCAAAAGGAAAGCTGAAAAGTCAGACAGTGAAGATGAAGATGTTACAACGGTGATTAGAAAGGAGAAAAAGCCGCTCTCTAACCCAATGTTTCAGAAGACTGATGGATTTGATTCGAAGTCCAGACGTGAACGTGAAGAGATAGACGATGACCTTGACGTTACGTTTAAATCAACGCGTTCTGCAATGCGAACTGGACCAGAGGATCTTGGAGCCACAGCAACTGTGGAGATTGATACCGAATTTGATCGAGACGCACAGGCTTTGTTTGAGAAGAGTTTGAAAACAAATCAAGAACTTAAAGGCCAGGAGAAAGATGACAAACAGTACAGAGGATTGAACAACTACATGACATTCTACGAAAAGAAGGGGAATGCACAAGGAAATGCTGCTAGTGGAATGGTCAGGTAAAGTGTATACAGGGATGAACCGTAAACAGTTAGCATTAGAGATCCAATCTTTAGTGGGAGTTTGTGTAAATTTAGTATCTCACAGTCAGGGTTGTCAATAGGAAATGTTAAAAATGTGTTATCAGAATTGTGTAGGTAGAATTATATTATGCTTGTATAGCAAGCATGGCATGTGACAAAGCAGCTCTCCCTTCTGGGGGGATCCAGGAGGGGTGCTCCCCCCTGAAGAATTTGATGTTTAAAACTCTCTGAGATATTATTCTCACCATTCTGGGAAGTATTTCAGTAAATTTTTTTTTATAGCCAAAGCGTGATGTCAGAATCAGAAAAATTTATGTATATTTTGTCTTTGATTGCAATTCACAAACTAGTTAGTAAATTCAACAGATAAAAGTTTTGTTCTTTGGGTTTGAAAAGTTCTTTTACCAGCTATGCTTAAAATAAGAGAGACTGCTGATTGATTGATTTTATGGATGAATGATTTTGATGGGCCTGTCATTTGGTTTCTCATAGTTGTTTTTTTTTTTATTGTCTGTTTACTTTTCAAAGACATCTTTAATTTTGAAACATAACTAGAGGAATTCATATCTTTTGAACACTTTTTTCTTTCAGACAAGGGCCTATCAGGGCGCCAGCAAATTTGCGTGCAACAATTCGTTGGGATTATCAGCCAGATATATGTAAAGATTACAAGGAAACTGGTTTCTGTGGATTTGGAGACAGCTGCAAATTTTTGCATGATCGCAGTGACTACAAACATGGCTGGCAACTTGAACGAGAATGGAAAGAAGGAAATTACAGCAAACAAGATCCACATCAGTATGAAATTGCAAGTGATGATGATGATGATCTTCCATTCGCCTGTTTTATTTGTAGAGAATCATTCACAAGTCCAGTTGTTACCAAGTGTCAACACTACTTTTGTGAAGCATGTGCTCTTAAACATTACAAGAAAAGCAAAAGGTGTTATGTTTGTGGTACACAGACTAATGGTGTGTTCAATCCTGCAAAAGAGCTTATAAAGAAATTAAAAACCATGAGAGATGATGAAAAGGAAAAAGAACAAGAGGGTGATGATGATTAGGAAGGAGAAGGAAGAAGGCAATTGTTTGGGCTTGTTCTCAAAATCAGTTATTTGATGTTTCTTCTATAGGAAACAAAGCCTCTTTGATTTACCCCCCTTAAATCTGAAGAGCTGTTGACACACTTGGGGATTTTGCTCACCAATCATGGCAAATATGAGGGCTGGCAAAAATAGCCAACCTCATGCCAGATGTCAGCAATTTCATACGCCAATTGCAAGAGGTCAGCAAAAAGTGCAATTACTGCACCTGACACACCTGGTGATTTTTTCACCAATCAGCGCATAAAATTACTGAGTGTGATGCCAGCTTTAGAGTGACTAATATCTTATTTCTCCTTATAGTATTACTGTTAAATCAAATATCAAGGGATTGAAGATAAAAGAAATGATCACCCACCAAAGAACCTCTTGATTGTGAAATAAATTCTCCTGTTCAGTACCACAAGTAATATTTGTTATCTCTGTAGCTATAGATCTTCTCTCTACCACTGGATGACTGTATTATAATGTATTATATTTTCACCCTTAAGCTTCCAGAAGTGATTAACTTGTTACTTCTCCCTATAATATTAATTTGTTATCCAGCAAACAGGTTATGAGAATATTCAAACTTATCAGATAGAAGTTGTTATTTGATTTAACGTTAAGTTCTTGTTACTAATTTACAAGGAAATTTATACAGCTATCTAGGAAGTCAAAGGGTGAATGTTATTTTGAGATCATTAATAAATGTTTGGTCAGTGGATGATAGCAAATGATAAAATTTTCCTCACATAGAAACTTTTTAAGAAATTGTCCCAATTCAGCAAGTTATTTGGGAGCTCAATGATTGATAGCTTTAGTGTGAGTTTGCTTTAACCCTTTGACTCCCAGATCAAATTTGTAATTCTCCTTACTATCAACCGTGCAATTCTTTTAATGTTAGTTCAGAGAATTTAATATTGGATCAACTATTTATCTGCAAATTGATCTTTTTCTTTATTCTCATCACTTTTCTGGTTGATATTGTAAGGAGAAATTCTGTCTTGGTCACTCATGGAAGTTAAAGGGTTAATGTATCGATAACATGTGGCTAATAACAAACTATACTTGGGTATACCAGCACATGGCAAGTCAATATATAACTCACAATTGTTGATAAAGATGTGAGGCACACTTTTGTGGCAGGTCTTGAATCAATTCTGCTAAATGCTAAACCACTATACATACACTTCTGCCACTCCCCATTTCCCCTCTCTCCTCACCATTTTACTTCCCTTGCTGGATGGAAATATAGTTGGTACACATAGAGACTGTCCTATCTGTAAAAGTAGCTTTGCAATTGGCTTGAGCAAAACATATGTTATTTAGATGTTTGACTGTTCAACTTTGCTCTGATAAGGGGCTAAAGCTTAAGACTTAAGCTTTTGAAACCTTTTACCGTGGCCAAGTTACATTACAAACTCATTTTCAACATCAGTGACACTTGGCTGCACCTCAGATCATATTCCACTTCTTTGTTTATTTTATAAATCTATATCAGGGCAGACAAACAGCAACATAGTATCTGTTGTTTTATTTATATAGTTTGAGTTGATTTTATATTTTTAAATATAAAATGAACTCAAATTAAATTATAAAAAAAAATTGAAATATTTTGGAGAATGGACATTGGCTAAATAGCAAATTTTGAAAGTTGTCAGGAGAACATTGTCATTGAATATTCAATGTAATTTGAATAATTATAAACGTGTGAGATCAGTCATATCAAAGCTGACAATCCTGTTACAGCACTATTTTACAATGGGAATATGTCGTTCCTGAGTTGATTGTAATAAATCGCGTATAAAACCAGAATATTCAAATTTTTTATTATTTTCTGATTATTTTGGTTCCGTTTTCTTTTTGTTGAAGGTACGTTTTAAGATTCTTGTTACGGGTCCTCAGGTTAATTGATGTTCGTAAACCCTGATTGGCAGCTGTTGGCGACCGCTTGCCGCGCCATTGTGTAACGCTTTGTTTCGCTGCTAAATTTCCTTCTCTGCAGACAATTGCGGAGTCTTCATTCTAGGGAATGGTTGAACTTGTTTCTCAACCATGGTTAGAAAACAGGAAGCACAGAGATGATCGCTAAGACCATTGAGAAGGGGAGAAAAATGTAAATCAGAAAATTGGAGTGCTTGATTGGTTGGTATGCGAATAGTTATTGTGGTAGCGTTGCGTTTTGGTCGTCCTCGCAACCTCAGCTGTTCTTGGAGGGAAAATAACGTATTGGATTCTATAAAGGCTGTCAAATGATAGTTTATAAAAAGGTAAGAGCATTGTTGTCATCTTACGGACTAGTAATGCCTACTTCTTGTTTTAATAAACAGCTGGCTTTCCTCCTGACTCCGTGTGATCATTAATTTTTTGCGGTTTCATTTCATTTGCGGCATACAGCGTAGAAGAAAAGTTGACCCGGTCAAGCAAATCTTGGCTCGAATCGACGAAAAACAGAGCAAGGTAAAAGAAATCCTTTAATTGCATGGCTTAGAGGCTTTTTCTTGTTACTTTTATGATCATAATTAATCTTAATCCCTGTGGCAAGTTCTTTGTTTTATACTCTCGCTAAGGAGTAATTTGATTTCGTTGTTCAGTGTGTACGATAGACATCATAAATAATTGAAATAACGTTAGGATAAGACCGAGCTTGAACTCAAATGAAAGCATTGTACTTTTCTCAACTGTTGCTTTGTGTACTTTTGTGTTTGCTGAGAAATTCACGCTGAATAAGGAATTTATGCTGCGTTAAGCAACTGGCGTAGCGCCGACTTGGTAGCCATAGAAACATGCTCTTTAAATTTTGCATGAATTTATAATGCTACAAGATAATCATATGAGGTGTAGATTTTTTCTTCTTATTCGTAAAATGAACCAAGTATTCTAAGTTAGAATTGTCTCTTTTTAATTGTCAGTTCCCAAATTTAAAAATTGTAATTTACGTTTAACTTATTTTTTAATAACCATGAAATGTCAATCACATGGATTAACAAATTGATCAGGATTCAACTTAAATGTAAACTTGGGAGCCATGATAGTTTTTTTCTGGGTATCTTAAGTACTGATCATCATGCAACATCCAGAGATACAAATCGTCCATCTTTATGGTTTGATTGCTGCGTGAAAATTTAATCTTTTGGCAGCTTTCTGCCAAAAAGACTTGCATTGAAAAAGCAATATCAAATTTTCTTGAATTACATTTTCCTTCAAAATGTGGCCAGTAAATTGATAAATCTGTGCAATTTCATGCCTGATGAAAATTTTTCCTGCTCTGAGGCAGGAAGATGGGGCCTTTGAAGATTGGTAAGGCTTGACAAAATTTGGATGAAAAAAAATCACTGGGTGCAGTTGTCTCCAGTCACTGAACTCATGACAGTTTTATCTGGCAAAATAAACAAAAAATTTCCTTGTAGGCCTGGGCAAGTATTAAAATGATTTGATTTAAGATATGTAATATATATGTCTTAGAGGACGTTTTGATGTGGAGTATCCCTGGGTATTTTTATGAGTTGTGCTGTATTTTGACGAGCCAGTAGGACGAGTAGAAATACAGACAATGAATAAATATCCTAAGCAATACCACACACCAAAATGTCTTATAAGCTATTTATTATCCAACTGCTTTTTTCCTGCCAAGTGTTTCTGCTCATTTCTCATAAGGCAGGAAAAGCAAAGCAGATACAGAAGCATTGTGCACAGCTAACCTGTGAAACAGGTTTTTTTTTTAAATACAAAATAACCAACTGTACAATATCACAGGATATTTGTACTCTGTCCACGCATTATTTGTTCTCAGTTTTGTGCAGTTGGAAAATTAGATATGATAAAAATAGTGAGGATAATTTACAGAAGAATATTGTGTATTTATATATAATTATGTGCGAACATCAATCCTTAATTTTAATGTTTAACTTGTAGACAGGGTTATCATTATACTCAACAACTGATGTCCATGAACCAGCAAAGGAAGATGTTTTACCTATGGTAAATCCCTCAAGTGGTAGGCAATTCTTCATTTTATTTCTTTTTCACCACTTGATGTACTTAATGTACTCTATGAACAAGAGCCACAGGCAGCCATTGGTTTTAAGTTTTCTTGTGCCATTTTGGCAATTTTCCATATTTTATGCAGAAAATTTCCAAATTATGGAATAAGGCCAAACCAGGAGCATTTTGATAAGCTGTCAATTACCCACATCATTCTTCTGACTCAAGTTGTAATTACTCTGCATGTTTAAAATGGGTTTAAACTTACTCACAACATCTTGGAGGGGTATTGGTAAGTCATTTAGAAAACAAGGGTGGTGGTGATTTAACCCATTCCACGCCTCCTCAAATGTCATAGTAATCTGTGAGATGTGGCCTTCTGGACAAAGCATTCTGTGAGGTTTTTTTTATGTTCATGGACTGCTATGATGTACAGCTTTCCCCTTCTTTAGAGCCTACCTCAGTGTTAAGCAAGAACTCTTCATTTTTCCCTGACCTGTCAGCTGCCCGTCAGAAGGCTCACAGAAGGTAAATTCCAAGCTGGCATTAAATTACAATCAAGACAGTATTTGGTGTGGTGAGGCTAAGAACTGTATCTGATTACAGAAGATTGGAGAAGATAGCTTTAATAGTCCAGTGAAAGGCAGCCACACAGGCAGAGTTAATTTGATATTCAGAGAAAAACTTAACAATTTTATTTAATTAGTTCTTCCCAAAGAGTGAGCTGATGAAAGGAAAAGGAACTTATCTAAGTTTGAGCAATTTGAGGCAACACAAATGAAATTATATGATTTCTAAAGGGCGCTTGTGAGGTCATGGAATCACCTTTGAGAAATCACAAAATGTACACTGCTGGCTCGGAAAAGTTTGGGTGGCCAACTCACATTATTAACTCAGCTAATAAACCAAATTATATGGTAATTACCTTCCCCCCCTATCCCCCGGTTTCCCACTGATGCAGCACTACAGTTTTTTAGAAACACACCCTTTTATTCATTTGGGAACAATTAGTTAAAACTGATACATCAAGTGATATTAGAATAAATGTGTTTCGAGCCTAGTGACCCACCCAACTGGAGCTTATCTGGGTTTCCTCAGCATGAAATGACTAAGAGTATTGCTCTTCCCCCTCTGGATGGAATGCTAGTCTATTACAAGGTTACCTCCCAGTATTTAGTCAGGCTTCCCTGATGACTGGTTAGTACCCATTTATATATATACTCTTGGGTGTTAGAGAACCACTGAGAGAATAAAGAACTTTGCTAAAGAACACCACAAATTAGCATGGTCAGGTCAAGAACTCAGATCTCTTGATCTGGAGTCCAGTGCATTAACCTTCAAGCCATTGCGTCACCCATGATATTAATATACCTTCAAAATCAGATCAAGCATTTTTCCCTGCTAATAAATCTTGATATAAATCTTAAAATTTGCCTTTGCAGATTAAATGCAGGGTTACAACATGCTGTGGATGACAGTGATCAGAAGGCAGCACTGTACATGCAGGCCAAGGCAGACAGACAATTAAACTTGACATTTCCTCCTGCTAAGTCACGGGGAACAACAGCTGCTGAGAATCAAGACAGACTGGGTTATGCATTCAGTGGCTGGTCTGATAGTCCTGTAGGTGTCTTTTCACTATTTAATCATTAAGGGTTTGATTACCTAGTTAGGTCATAATGTGGCATCTGGAGCATGAAATGGCAGAGACTTTTAATGCTGGTATCACTATGAACTCAAAACCCATGAAAATCTTGTGAAATAATTCATTGTAAATTCACAGATTTTTCACAGGATATTCATGGTTAAATCAATGACATTTTCATGGTCTAGGTGCCATGAAAAAGACCTGAAAAATCCCATGAAAAACCTGTGAAAATTTCCATATTCACGACCCATGAAATATTGAGTAAAGTGACCTAGAAGCCATGAAATACCCATGAAAATGGCATTTCATGGCCTTTTCAAAGGTACTGAGAAACCCATGAATTTCAAGCCCAAAATTTCATGGTGTCAAAGTTCACTAGTTTTTAATGGGTTGCAGCAAATCATGACCCATGAATATCCTGTGAATATGTTAAAAATTCATTGACCATGAAAATTTTCCTTGAATTTTCATGGCCTCTACATGGTTTTTTCATGGCACATGAAAGTTAATTGCCAGTTAGTTTTCATGGGGTTGTTAGGAATATGCAAGCACCATGAAAATTCTTTGAAAACCCTATGAATTTGGAATTAAAAATTCTTCACTTTTCTTGTACCAAAGACTGTACTACAGTGTATAGCTTGCAGTATACCATAACTGTAATACATACACTATCACTTAAATTATACACTGAAGAACTAACCTATCTGGGAAACTTCTTGGTCCTGTTGTACAAGCACACACACATGAAAGACATGACCAGAAGTTTGGATTCTCTGATAGTTTATTTTGTTTCACCAGCTGTACATAAATATTACTTTAGGATTCCAAAATTGTGATAATTCAGTTTACACTTTCTTAAATAAAAAAATTGGTATGAAATTTTCTGCATAAAATTAAGATGTTAATGATTTTTAGCTCTATTTTGATATCACTGATTTTCCTTGTGGAGACAGATTCTGCTCCTATATTTCTGAAGGTATATAATAAATTTGATGTGAAAAATATTTGGACGAAATTATTGAAAATATACTCACTGGCTTGATGTATTTTTGTCTAAACTTCAAATATCTTTTCCTTCGTCTAATATCATGTGTAAAATGTTATGGACAGTTATTATAATGTCTATTTATGTAACAGCATTCATGTAAATTTCTTGATATGTTTTACACTTGTGATCAATACTCTCAAGGTAACTAACAACAAAACAATTACCAACTTTCTGCACTCTTGCATGTGTGAAGATATATCTATGGCTGACTATGTCAGTGTCTCTCTGTTTTGGCCACCTGAATGTGCCATCCTTCTTTCGGTTATCATTACTATTTGCATCTTCATCATCGTTTGGACCAAGATAGGCTGCTTTAGCAAGTGTGCATTTCCTTTCATCAGTTTTGTAGACCAACACTCTTCACTGTTTGCAAAATAAAGGGAGCACATCATCAGTTATCTAAGAGCCTTTCTTATGTACGTAGTAAACCTAGAAATGGATAACTCGCCAAAACAGGTTCTTTTCAACATGAAGCCGTCAGATACTAAGCGACGCACTATGGAAGTGAGGTGAGGTATTTCGTATTCAGAATTTGACTGTATTTTTTATTCCTAAGAACGGTCGTAGGTATTTCCATACAAACTCTTGTGATGTTTCGCCAGATGATCACAGAATAAAAATTTTCAAGTTAAATCAATAGTTAGCGCGCGCGCTCCGATGTTTACGCGTAATAAGATGACCAAGCTTGAACTTACCCCTTCACGTTGTAATACATGTCGATAACTTCATCTTGAGGAAACCTCTTTGAAAAAACTTTTCAGACGGTCCATTGCGTTGATCTGGAAAAAAAGAGACTGCTACACAAACACTACGAGAAATGCAATTGGAATGGAACCATTCCGTTCGAGGTACGAAAAAAACCGCCACTTCTTCGTAAATCACGTGTACTTTCACGTGGTGACCTTAGGTCATCGCAGCCATCATAGGTCAGCGGTCACATAGTGACCTCACAGGTTATCGTGTTCGACGTTACGAAATGACTCCGAAGAGGTCTCGTTGCTGCGTCTGTAATCTTACAAAATAAAGCAGCACAAAAAGCTGTTCGGTATTTGGAATTCGAAGCAAGTAACAATCGACAGGACATCAGAGTCCAAGAAAGTCAGAGCTGACATCGACAGTGATTCCTGTGAAAGCGATCACGAAATCAACAACGATGTTGTAGAAGGCGATCTCAATGAATACATGAAGGTAACGTTTCATCCCGACTGAGAAGATGGCCTGACTCTGTTAACCGGCGACTCTATGAACGAGGTAAAAATAGCATTTTTCAGGTTACATTTGCACACTATTCAAAGTTCCAAATTGAGGTGACAAAGTGATTGATTTTTCATTGTTTTGTTCCACATTTCGTGTAGATGCAATGCGTACTATTGCTGTGCAACTTAAGCATCTGTACTCTGCAGGTGCCTTACTGGAAAAGCCCTAGAAGATTCCTCAGCCGTAAGAATGTAAGAGAAGGCCTTGAACAGGTTTCCAGAGTCATAGCTAACAATCAAAGCCAGCAGTGAGGCAGAAAAAATTCAACAAAGTCGTCCAGGCATGGCGAAGGCAAAAAGGCCCCAAAAAATCAAAGTGAGGATCAAACATCTGGGTCATTGCCTCCAGCCCTATTTGTCTCAACAAAGGAGCAAATTGAAGATCCATTGTTTTTAGTCATTGTTTTGTGATTTCCTGTACATTTTACGTTAACAAAGGCCACTTAAGATGTTTAGGGACATTTTCATTCGACGGTTTTCGCGCTGTACACCAAAATTCCATCAGTGCATAATTTTATAACAAGTTAGTTCCACGGATCATGAAAGTCAGCTCGTTGATAAATCAGTGACTGTGATGAATTCATTATTACCACTTTTAATGGCCTATGAATTCATCAATGAAATTCATGGGCAACAGATTTCAGGGAATATTCATGGCCCATTAATTTTGTTCTCCCAAAACAAATAAATTGTTAGCCCATGAAATGCTGTTTGATTGCAATTCATGGGCATGAAATTCATTCTGATGACTTTCTGGGGAACTAATGGGTCATGAAAGTAGACTTTTAAGAAATTCATGGGTCATGAAAGTAGGCATATAAAGAAATTCATGGGTCATGAAATTAATTCTGATGACTTTCATGGCAAATCAATGGGTCATAAAAATAGACTTTGAAGAAATTCATGGGTCATGAAAAAAATTCCCCTAATTCATGGAAAATTCAGGGCTAAAAATAACCCCATGAAATTTAATTTTGCAGTATTCATGGGCCATGAAATGATCTTCATGGGTTTTTCACATGAAATTCATGGAATTTTCATAAAACTACAGTTCATAGTGTATTGCCTTAGTCGGAATCTCATATTTACTTCAGTTTCTTTGGTAATTCAGTAGTAATAACTTTTCAAACTTCAGAGAGATTTTGAGACTAAAAAGAGGTAGTGGGAGTCAGGCTGGGCCACTTCTTGTACTATAAAGACTTGAGCTGGAAGTGAGCCTTTCAAATCTCTCACAATAACCAGAATCCTGACTTAAATAAGTGTAGCTAAAATGTTGTTCACTGATTACTGTTATAAATATAACCTTTTTAGCCCCAAGAGTGTCAACGGCACAAAGTCTCTTATTGAATTTCCAAAATCTTGCAACTGAAATAACATCATCACCCCTTTCAAAGTCTCACATGCCCACACCAAGCTACAGGTAACCTGACTTGAGCAATTCCTGAGGTGCAACTCAGTCATTTTTTTCACCAATTATTTTCTTAATTCTGTAGTCAGCAGGGGTGGAAAATCTTCGTTACAATTCTCGCACCAGTTTGAATCCCTTTGGATACAACAGAAGAACTTTGGCATTTCAACCAACTTCACTAAATTATGTTGTGGAATGGCCTGAAACTTGGCCCTTGAAGATCATGTAAGTTACCTTGTTATTGCCGCTCTGTTTATTCACGTAAATCAAAGCCAGCTGATGCAAACGTGTAAGTTGCTGTATAACATTGAGTTTACTTATTCTCTAACATGCATTTTAATTTTCTGATTTTTCTAGGAGTCTAGGTAAAGGAACTGGGCCAGCACACAGACGGAAAACAAAACCCAAGTGAGTGATTTTCTACTGATTGGTCAGATATCATTTTAAGACCATGACTTTCATTATTTTCCAGCGATCCTAAAGATTAAATGTGAAGCAAATACTAGCATGTGCTATGAAGTGCACTCTTCAGGAGGAAGGTGAATGGACATTCCATAACACATAGACTTACTTGCCATGTGTTACTAGATTTTCAACTCTTTTCTTCTTGTTTTTGGTAGGCCTAAAGTTCATCGCAGAGTGCACTTTGAAACGTCTCCAGTCCCTTCCAATTCAAGAACGATTTCAAACAGAGTGTCCACTCAAACTCTAGATGATCCCGTACCAGATCAGACTAAACAGGCTTTACCCGACATACAGAATCCTTCAACAAGTGTAGCAGTGGGATCAGCTCTGCAAGGGCCTCATGTTGCAGAATGTCCTACCCATAACAATAATGCTGAGGTTTTATCTCAAGGAAGTTACCCTGACAGAACCATGCTTGGTGTGGGAGAAGGACTTAATTCAGATATATCAAGAGTGTACTCTGATGCGAGCTCGATATCTGAAAGTGCCTTTGCCAGTATATTGGAGGGCAAGGTGGGTAAATTTGATTCATCTTCTTTGTTTGTCAGTGAAAATCTTTTTGCATACTTGAATGGTTGTGGGTGAGCATCTATAGATAGGTGTCCAAAACAGGGGGATTTTTAATACTTTGAACCACGTAATTTCAAAAGATCTGGGCCCAGTAGTATAAAGGGCGGATAACACTATACGATGGATAAATTGCTATCCAGCGGAAAACTGTTCATAAAATGCATTGCGCTATTCACCGGATAGCGATTCATCCAGTGGATAGCGTTATCCGACATTCCCACAACCGGGGCCCGACTGCTAATTCTCCCCTCGGGCTGTAACACATTCCCATGTAAATTAGTTACGGGAATCTGGCGTTAGATCAAGGTGATAACTTCTACCTGATAAATTTGGTTATTCTCATTACCTCTATGCTGGATAATGCGGGGATATTATAGAGAGAAGTTACAAGGTAATAAGTTCTAAAGGGTAAAAGGTTAGCGAGTTGGTTCAATTGCTCACGTAGTCTTTCCCAGACAAATCAAACCGTAAACCAGTGACTACCTGAGGATAATAAAGTGGTGTCGTTCGTAAGAAATGGGGATATGCTCTCGTCAAATTAGGAATTCTTTTCAAACATCAAAATGAAATTAAGCTCAAAACGCCAGTTTTTGCTTCATTGAACTGACAGGCTACCGAAGAACCACATGAGACAGAGAAGCAGCAAACTGACAGTATACCCTCGTGTAGCCCAACCCCCATCAAAACAGCGGGTGAAATGGTAGATGATGAACCAGAGAGTGTTGTGGATTCATTAGGGGTTGAAGATAAGATGGAAAACGAACAGTCACAAGATCAAGTGATGGACATCGTGACGGAGATAGCTGCAGAAACACCTGCAGAGGATTACATGCAGAACATTTGACAGTTGCGGCTACGCGACCTGAGAGAGGCATGCTTGGAATATATTCGCTGGCCAGAGACAAAGCAGGCACCTTGTGTGAGAAGTGAGAGCTCCATTGACAGTGTTTAATACTGAATGTTTTTTAATTTATTCTATGTTTTCAGGTAGTCTCTTGCAGAGAACGAACTTACGTCCTGAGTAACATTCGAAGAAAAACAGAACATTTAATTTTAGGGGGGGTAAGGTTCTAAAGAAACTGTAGAGCTGCGTCTGGGAGAGGTATTACAAAATGATTTGGTTAAATCAAATGAGCTGAAAATGTAAACTGGCCACCGTAAAGAGTTTAAAAGCTGACGTTTCGAGCGGTGGCCCTTTGTCTGTCGCTCTGACGAAGGGCTAACGCTCGAAATTTCAGCCTTTAAACTCTTTTCGGTGGCCAATTTACGTTTTCAACTCTGATGTTAACTCTAAATGACCTGTTATCTTGTGATACATTTTATTTGTCAGCTTGTTCGTATAACTTTGCCCCTTGCATAGCAATTTGAAAACGACAGAAGGCTTTCGGCTTTTGCTGATCGAAACTTGAAGATTTTCTTTCCCAAAACAATATCATTTTTATATTATATTTTATAAATTCCTCAAGAGTGCTATAAAAGATATAAGTGTGTTTCAGTATAAGCTTTACATAAAAGAGTGTTTTTATATAAGATTATATACATACATAAAGAAGAGTATATTCGGCTTTATTTTACTTTTTTTTCCTAAAGAAAAATACGTATGTACGTTTCATCGGAGATGGGTGCGGCTAATAGTGATTAAAATGCCACTGCATGTTTCCGATAATGGCAACGGCAACCGGTGAAAATCTTGACCTTACTCGTTCTTCCTTTCAAGCTTTTAACCAGCTTCGTATAGAAAAGAGAAAAATGAGTACTGATGCAAGAATGTTCACTCAAGTGTGTTAATGGCTAAAGGCAGGCGGCAAGAACTTCAATTTTTTTGCCGATTGACATTCTCCGTTAATGTCCTTTTTAACCAGTTTATTACGATCAATGGCTACGGCAAGTGTAAACGATAGAATTCAGTACTGATTTTGCCTTCTTTTAAAATTACAGAAAAGTTTAAAATTTTATCTCATTCACAATACAAGGTTCTATGTTTCTGACACAACAAAAGCAAATATTTGAACTTATTTCACAAACTGTTGAAAGGCACACCGCAAAAGTTTAAGTTTTGCCGCTTGCCGTTCGCTAAAACGTGATTAAATATTTTTATTGTTGTTATCTTTTTTCTTCTACTTTATCCATGGCATGGCATGCAGCAGTACAAGGTATTAATAAGTGATTATTCCATGTTTCTTTCTTGGGTTGCGTAGCGTATGGGTAGCGTTGCCCTGGTTGTGATAGCGAGGGAACAAAAGGGCGCTAGGGGACGCTTTTATAGTTATTGTGTAAAGTGTGTATTTGGGGAAAAGCGACTAAGGTGAAACGCTTATTGACTGAGTTGGGTTAGGCTGAGTGGACTGACTGGTTTTTTTGGCCCTCAGTCACGACGTGCGGACCCAGGGTCGTCAAAAAGATTTTGATTAACTGGACTGTGATTCTAGGAGGCGGTACCAGGGGTAATCGTTGACATGCCTCCATGCCGAAAATTGAGCCACACACATTCGGAATAACTAGCGCGTTTTTCAGTGTAGATGGTGAAACGCGCCGATTGCTGTCTTATTTTGAAAACCCTGTGGACCCTAAGATCTCGTGCGGCTCCACCAAACTCAGTCATAAAGTACTTAATGTTAACAATTACCAAATGCCATGATTTTGGTTAAAAATTTGCGTTCAAAACGCACAAACTTAAGATTTTACAGATTTAGGCCTTCTTAAGAGTTTGAGATTATTGCTTTATTGAATAGAGATTTATTATATATTTGTACAAAACGTATTTCTTCAAAATTTATGAAATTCGGACACATTTCAACTGTTGGTCTGTTTATAGTAAAGCTTACTTCAAACATTTCAGATTAATTGTGTCTCATTGTTTAAAATCTATTTGAAGCAAATGGAAGGTTCTGTCTCGGAAACAAGGTGTGTTCCAGGCGGCCTCCATCCCCCACCTCCTCCTCCCCCTCTCTTTGCGTTGATCTCTGCGATGAAATTGATTCGGATATTGCCTCAAGAGCCACTTAAGAGGACCGCTAACATAACTCACGAATGGTTTGAAATTTGGAATTATCTTCGCTAGTGATACTATTTTTAAACAGAAACTTCCCTACTCCACCATGAAGCTCGAAATTCGTCATCTCTTTCACTCACACCTCCGCAAAATTGCTGATCTCAGCAGTTTAGAGAACCCTGGTGACATATGAAACTAGCATGTGACGTTGGATATTGCTCTTCCCGCGACCTCGACTCCTTTTTACGCCATGGTATGACGTAGGCGTATTTAAAAATACGCTTACGTCATACCATGAGGGAAATTTTGGGTCCATACATAAACTTTATAATATAAGGTTTATGTACGGACCCAATTTCACCCGCTCGCGCACTCCTTTCCAGGAATCAGACAATAAATTTACGCATTAAAACTTGGATTAGACGCATTTTCTCCTGCCTTCCCTACTAGGTTTGCTTCTGTCCCCAAAGTTGTGTCTTTGTCTATATCTGCTCTGCCACGTATATCTCATTGTCCCTTTACAAAGGGAACGCTTATATCAGTATGTACCTTCAATCCACGGCCAGCAAGTTCGCTGTAGTTCACGGGCTTTTGCAGGCATCCGGCTGCGCAACTACAGGTTCGTGTTCGAATCCTCAAGAGGAACTTAATTTTTCTTAGTTTCACATTCGTTACAAATACTTGAACATTGATCGCAGCCTTTCAAGTTTTCATTTGGACAAAAAAAAAAAAGAAAAACGAATTGTGTCACCTGTTGTTTCCTCCAAAAACAAAAGAAATTAACGCGCGAAAATTGGAACGTCACAGAGGACCTTGGATAATTAGTTCGTGCGGTTAAAATTTCACGTGCAACTGCGTGCAGTTGATTTAAATGTCAACTACGAAGGCAGAATCGAGTATTTCATTATTGAACTACAAGAAGTTTTAGCGGACGTTTGTCAGGTAAGATTTGAAGGCTCCTAGAAAATTTGCGCTCTGTTTGGCAAAGTCAAGTGTCATCTAGAAGCTCATGTATGTTTAGGCAGTAAATTTTTAGAATGTTCTCATAGGCGGAATTTAATGGCACGGTTGTCTTAGCAAGAATTGGATGCGTATTTGCGTCGACTGTCGTGGCTCGCTTTTTCTAAAGCGACCATCGTAAAAGAGACTCCTTGAGGTTTGACTTTGTTCACCACGGCTTGAAGTCCAGCTGTACTTTTGCAGACAAATTTTCTTGTAGATCTTTGTTAAAGCGAAACGAAGGGCTAACAACGAAAGGCTCTGACGAAGGGTTAACGCTCGAAATGGTCAATTTCGTGATGATTAACTCACTTGTTAAACCCAATTATCATACAGTTACTGCGCATAAGCATCGTGTATATAGTACTTGTGACTGTAACTATGTTTTCAAAAATAACCTTTAGATGTGACTTACGCATTGCTACTCTAAATCGCCATACTATTTATTTTCAGTACAAATAGAATGAATTTAAAGCGTTGTTTGTTCATTGGCACGTTCTTGTGCATGTTACTGGTATCCACAAATGCTTGGTGGCCGTTTTCCAGCTCGTCTACTGAAGACACTGAAGCAGAGCAAGGTCGTTATTTGAAGAACAGCCCTGTTCCTTTTGAAATGACGACAGCCGAAGAAAAATTTTTAGCTGAGGCAAAGAAGTATATGGGAAATCTTACTCCATTAGACACCTGTCATCAGATTGTAAGCAATAAAATCTTGAAAGAATATACCATTATTTTTAATTTCACAAATTATGTTTTGACAATAGAGGTAAACACTCCATAGATAAATGAACAACCATGAAATGGTAAACGCGGATTATATTCACTTCTTTTTAAAAAGTTTCTGTAGTACGGGGCATGCTCAGCACGCGAGGAAGAGTACACGTGAAACTGTTCTACGATTCTGTTATATAAAATTTTTGCAATCTTTCATGATCACTAGGTCATAAACCGAATCAAGAAATCCTGTAGCGATATCAATGAAGTTGAACTGGCAAAGCTGGGCGTGGCTCTCTTAAACTGCCAATCAAAATCCGAAGGAAGAAGAACGTACGAGTGCACAGACGACATGGTGAGTTTTGTTGATGAAATTTTAGTTTCGTTTTTTCAATGATCGCTTTTGAGTGGCGAGGCCAGTTTTGACAATCATCAAAAAAGATGTGGAAACCAAAGTCAAGGTCATTTTCTTTTGTAATTTTGGTATAGGAACTGCGTGATTGCACAAATGGTATGGATGCCAATACATGGAACAGTTATCACATAATCAGCAACAGGGCGCGGTCGATCTGCTACGCCACTCGGCAGCAGCAGTTCAGACTGAAGACAGAATTTACTGTCAATCAGCTGGCCAGTCAAGCGGAAAATCAAATGGAGCTTATGAACGGTTTACAAGTAAGTTTCAATTATTCCTGTTTTTTCCTTTAGACAAGCTATGTGTCGATTTAGGTGACGAGAAATCTGTCTAAAAGGTGTGAGTTTCTCATTTAAAACATGTTCAAATTGGACAAAAATGACTAGAAAGTTTTGCACTATTTTAATGCTGTGATGATAAGGTTTGTCAGCTGATTTCACGAAAGTCATTTAAACATTCTACTAATGAGGCCCCTACAAGCATTTATTAACCTGTCACTGACATGCAGTCTTTGCTTGGAAGGGCTGAAGAAGAAATGGCTTCGAATAATACGATCGGTGGGGAAAGGCGGGAGAGAAGCAAGGCTTTCTAATTTCTTCTCCTCGTCCCTTCCCACACCCTCCCCACTCCCTCCTTCCTCTATTTCTTCCCACTTTCTCCTTCCCCCCTCCTCGACCAGAAAGCCTGTTGATAGACTCAACCCCTATATTTGTTCAATCGAACAGGAAGGTCAAAGGAGACTGACAGAAGTAGCAGATGATACCGTGATTAGAGTGACCGCTGGTCAGGAACGTCTTGTAAGACAGCAAGCGAAACTACATGCCAGCTATGACGATGTGCAGCGGTCGATCTCGTTCTCATTAAGAGGGAATGTCAGGGCACTGCACCAGGAAAGAATGATGATAGACAGCGGTCGGAAACAGCTCAAAGAGATGGCAAAAACGGTCCAAGACAAGCTTGGTTTGTTTATTTGAGAGTTTTTGATCAAAGAAAGTTCTTTCCTTCAACCTCACTTGGTTATCGTCCCCCTCCTTCTTTTAAGAGAGAGCCTGCAGTTAATCATTTTAGAGTACAGCGACCTTCATCAGAAAATTCAATTTTGAGAATCAATTTTCTACCTTATCCTGGTAACGTTCTAACACGTTGTAAATGTTTTGTCTAATGAGCTTGTTCCAAATCAACTCATTAAAATAGATACAAATACACGTAAACAAACTAAGTAGAATTTAACAGTGGTCTCTCGACAGAAGGGTCAATTCTTTGTCCAATAACGTAAAACTATTTTCTGTTCTTTAATAAACAGAGAGTGCTACAACAGAAATTCAGAAACAGGATCTGAACCGTAAAATTAGCCACCGCTTAATTTTAGAGGACTTAAACGATATTCGCAGCAAGGCGGAAGAAGTGTGGAATAAGATAGGTAACAGAGACTGTGATTATATATATGGAGACAATGACTAGATGACTTAGAAGGAATTTCTTGTTAAAAAATTGATGTTGAACTCAGCCGACAACGACCCAAACGAAATTTAATAAGGGCAACAGAGCTATAGTCTATTCGACTGGGTATTCAGAAATCAAACCCAACGTAATCATCAAAATGGCCAATCAAGTGCTTCCAATAAGAATTTAAGGTGGATATAAAGCGCGGGTGAGCAATTCTGGATTGTTTTCTTTCTGCACCAATCAAAAAGCTTCTACCCTTCTCCTCTACTGGTGCAATTATGCATCAAAGACAATGTCAATTTTTTTGTTTTTCCTTCTTCTGATTAAACTTGTTTGTATTTGGTTGTAGACCACAGCACCCTTCAAATGATGTCGTACCACAGTGAGACCACTCAACATTACAATCAGACAATGGAAAATCTGAAAATTATCAACGATACTATTGGATATTTAATTGAGGTAAGAGAAATTTGTTGGGAAATAAACAAGTCTGATTAAAACAAAACTACGTGTCTTGGTTATGCTTGTATTTTTTTAATGACTTTTACATGCTTTGTCCTCAACAAAGGAGCTATTCATAGAATTGTCGTTTGCTTAAAATGATGACTTCACGAAAGAGTTTCTAAAACAAGTGTTAATATGTAACTTATTTTCTCAGGTGACCAATCAGATGCAAGATAAAATCGACAACAGACTTGATTGGTTGACACGACATCTAGGAGGAACTGGAGACAAACTAGTGGTGGTCACCACCTGCTTGATGCATGCTGGGTATTTCCTCTTAGCGACCCTTTGTATTTTGTTCCTGAATGCGCCTCTCTTCACTCGACTTGTTCTCTTGGTCGCAGTACCGATCAACGCATGGAGCGAGATCAATTTTGACTCCAGTTTATCGTACAGTACACTTTCATCGATCATCTCTGTGGCTCTACTAGGTAAGTACTGGCACATCATAAAACTGTGTTTGTCTTAAAAGATAGAAGTTTATGCGACGGGTGAAGAACTTTCAGACAATTAGGATAATTTTTGCCCATCAATGATCGTTTGCGGAAAAATGACATCTTTACTACAACTAAATTTTTCTTGGTCTGTCTGTGGTTGAGTTTACCGATTGGCACGAATCTTCCATACAATTGTGAAAGCTTCATCAGGGAACTCGCCGTTGGAAAAATGTATTTACGAATTATTTTTTACTTCTCAAACACTGGACTTCATTGCCTTAAATGGGCCATTTTTGAATTAGTAATTTGAATTGTTTGTACGAGCAAATCATATCATCTTAATGAAAAGAATGTAGATCAAGCCTCGCTTTGAAGAAAACCCTCAAAATGACTCGGAAATGGGAAATTGGTATACATACGTTTTCCTTCAAATCGTCTCCATTCAAGGAGAAACCCAGACCCGTTTGGTTGTCTGACGAGGTATTTTCCCTGCTTTTATTTAATTCTTGTGAAGACCATACAATAGCTTGCATATTCTTTTAGGGAACTGGTTGTACTTCTACTTAACCAAGAAATATTTTCCATCTAACGCTGATCGAATCTCTAAATCTTCGCCTCTGGCATTAAATTCGGCGAAATATCTTGGTTATCATGAAACTCCTAATAATACAAGGAACATGCTGGACACAACAGGTAAGAATTGTTTGTTCGTCTTTTACATAAGTTAATGTATCGACATACTACGTTGATATACATGTTTTCGTTCCAAGTTTTCAGACTTTCATTAGACATGTTTAATTGCCCGCATACTTGGAGGCCAAAACTTTAATCGCAGCAGAAACTTTCCGAGCACCTCCAATTACTTAGAGATTTGCCCTCTCTAAAGCTTTACACAAGCGAAAACAGAATTGAACAGAAAAGCGCTCGAAGTAACCTCATGATACAATTCAAAGCGAGGCCATGGCGAGTCGACCAATCAAGTCAATCCTTTGCGAGTTAAACTCTTGATGATAAAGCATTTTTCAATTGAGCGTCGAGGGTAATTGCATTGATTTGCTCTACTTCGTTCTATGATTGGTCCAGAAAACTTGCGCTACTTTCTCAACCAATCAGATGCAAAACTCAAACCAATGACGACTTGGTCGTCCGCGTTTTCCCGCCTTTCAGGCAGTTTTGAGTTCTTATTGGCTGCTAAAGTATTTTCCTTCTGATAGGCCGTTGTGACTACTTTGGGTTTGGTTTTACGACAATCAATCGAAAAGCTCTTTAAGGCTCTTACTACTGGTGACTTCAATAGTTAATTTGCTTGTTTACTTTTTCCCTCCTATCTCAGACAGTATCGAGAGTCTGGACGAATCAGCTTTGACTTTGACACCTAAAGGTCCTGTGGGAAACACCAAACGCCAATTGAACCTTTCCTATCCAGAAGCAGCCTCGACCCCAAGCAGTAAAGTAACCACTCCACGCAGGCGCTGTGGTGCTCTTACAAAAACAGGCTCAGCCTGTAAGAGAGTAATTGCTAATGGAGGCTTTAAATGCACTACACATTTACGGATGGATTCCAGTTATATCCCGGATGAGTGTTAGGAAACAGACACGTATCAGAGCCAAATTTAAGTATTTATAAATATATTGGAGAAATATTTTAAAATGCAGGACAGATCTATATTTTTTTTCGCTTATCCATGTCTATGAAAAGATGCTGAACATGATATATTATGTATGGAATTTTAACATTATGTTCGAGTTACGCGATCAAGGAAATGAGTCTCGTTTGTAAAGGCACTGAAACGGCACTATTTTCTCGTAGGGTCTAAAAGTACACAAAGACAAAACTGAAAATGGCCCTCGACGGCCCTAAATTTGAACTTTAACCAACAATTGAGTCTAAGCAGGGCAAACAAAATTCTCAATGCTCCAAGGGATGTGGTATATGATTCAGCGGCCACTTCCTTCATTGTATAAAATTTTCGCGCGCTTAATTTTCACTTATTAATTACTGCCGTCAGAGTTCACGAATTTCAATTTCAAACACGCGCGGAGCTGAGAAGAATTCTGAGCTAGGAAACCAAGGACAGGCTGAATTCCGCCGAGCCCCAAACGGAATTGTTTCAACCGGTGAAATTGTGGACCTAATGTATGCATCAACTACTGGATCGTGTAACTGGGGAATGTATCTCTTAAATGAATTTTTTTACGTATTCACAAAGTTATATTTATCTTAAAGAGAGTATTTGTTTATATAACTTTGTTGTCACAGAGTTTAAGATTTATTTAGGTCAAATAATAAAACACATTGGTTATACTGATTCTGTGTTTGGTACTACCATTTAAATAAAAAATCAACCGGTTCCTGTACCTCTCGCAAGTGGTTTAATGGTAAAAGAAAGGTTCAGTGCCCAGTTAACTGACCGTACCAGCCGACAACAATGATCAATGCTCAAAACGCGCTGAAGCTAAACGGGAAGCACCAACGTGTATCGCTTTCCCTCCTCGATAGGTTGCTAATACTTCGCAGATTACTCCTTCTCTCCCCCCCCTCCCAAGTATCTTGTCCTGTTTCCCTGACAGCAGTTCAACAGTTTCTGTTCTCCTCCTGGGTGGGGAAGGTCACTGTTAACGTCGAGTGTCGTGCCCATGCACAAAGATCCAGTTAGGTCTGGCAATAAACAATGACTAGAATTTTGCCAATGTTTATATAAATAAATAAAAGGAGAAAGTCTTTACAGAAACTGTGGTGCTGCGTCGGTGGGAGAGTATAACAAGGTAATTTAGTATTATCAAATGAGTTTATAACGTAAATTGGCTACCGTAAAATGTTACAAAGCTAACGTTTCGAGCCGCGTTAGCCCTTCGTCAGAACGAATGACGCGGAAAGGCTCACGCTCGAAACGTAAGTTTTGCAACTCTTTACGATGGCCAATTCACGTTATCAACTCAGTTGATAATACTAAATCACCCAATATTCGTTCATCTAACCTCGCAGACTACATAATTGACACGTTTCTAGAGAACAATTGAATATCGAAGCGATTTTACTAATCGTTCAGTTAATTTAGAGTAAAAACTATCCCTTAGCAGTATTGATCAGAATATTCACCATCTCAGGTATGATGAAAGAGTAGCAAATGAACAGAAGACTGTTCAGAATAAAATTCTTTTACATAATAAACATACAAAATGTTTTTATATTATTCCAATCTTAGAAATAATTACGTCAAACGGGAGCCAACCACAGTCACTTAAAAATTATTAAGTCACTTTTTCTAGCAGTTCACACTTTTCGATTGAGGGTCAAAATTTAAATAGAAGTAGTCATTTCGACTGATCGGAACAAAAACGAAAATTGAAAAGAACCAATAAGGACTCCGTGAAACCGAGAGAATTTAAACAGATTATATTCTCTTAGTGAAACCATTAAAATCACCGGAGAAAACGCGCAGAATTAAGTCACGACTGATTCTACAGCTGTGCTTGATTGGTCGAGAAGCTGTTGCTAGTTATCTAGCGGAACCAGTCACAGAGCCCCTTAAAGTAAAACCAAAGCGATTTCAAATTAGCAGTTTTGCTGACACTCGATGGAAAGTTGCTGGATGACACCTAACGCTACACTTCTTCGATCTAAATAATAGCTAAGAAAGCCGTAAGAAACTACATAGTTTTTAAACCTCCACAAAGACATGTTTATGTTACAGTGACAATATCATGGCATTCTCTTACAGATATCAACACTATAAAACACAACGAACACTAGAAATACAGTATGAAAAGTTGCAAAAAACACTACATGTCCTACATAGCTTTATAAAAGCAGCTGGCTCAAGGAATTAGGGGCGCAAATACGAATAGCACTGTCAGGGGAATGGTCATACAGTTTTTCCTCTCAAAATAGAAAGACGAGAATGGAATGAGCGAAAAATTGAAACGAAAAACTTTAGCCACAAAAGAGGTTCTGCGCAACCTCAATTCCCAGATTTCTGGTTGTTTCATGATACAAACTTCTAGCCGAATTTCATTAAATTCTATTTAATTCTAAAATGGTAACCTAGCTCTTGGTGCGGAGTGAAATTTCAACTCTCAAAATTTACAAACAGTAAATACATTCATTTTAGTCTTATATATTCTAATATCAAACTGGCGAGTAAATTTTTTTCGCTTAAATTCAATGTATGCTTGCGATATAAATAGGTACATCTTCTTTTAGCGCAACGTTATTGACGTACATTATTTTCTAATTGAATTTAGAATCCTTATTTGAAAATGTAAAAAATACGTTGGTAGATTTGGATCAATATCAGAATCCGAGCCACTATCACTATCAATAACCCTAATATGGTAAGGTATTAGTTGACTGTTGTTCGGTTAGGGGAGGGGTGGGTGGATTGTTGCTCAGATTCTGACATTGCGAAGATTTCTTGAGTAAGTTGCATTGGTTTATGGAACAGCCCCATCAATCGAAACATTTCAAATACATATCAACCCGCCAATTTATCGATTTATTTTGTAACTCGAGGACAAGTTGATTTAAGAGAATTTTAGTGATTTCACACATTAGCAATTTTCATTGATCGACTTTGATGTCACTTACCTTTTACTATCGACTATACAAACTGTGCGGCAGTTTGTAATAGTCATTTAAATTTCGAGAAAACACGTGAGCATGTCTTTTTTTAATTTTACTTCAAATTAAACGTATGTTAACTGACATGCTGTGTACTGTATGATTCGCTATTTATGGGACTTTTTCTCGTTGTATTTGAAACCATCGATGGGTTACTCCATCATATATCGACTAGTGTAGACATTATTCGCCGTGTTAGGCGAATATTGTCTACACCACAAAAATAAGGTCACTTACCCATTATCGACTAGTGATCGATTGGCCGAGGAAGTGCGAGCAGTGTTCGGGAATAACTCGTTACTTGCGTAAGGCTCTAAATGATAAAAAAAGAGATTTGATGCATATAGCGTTCTAAGCTACGGACCTAAACTAGTGCCGGAAGAAATTTCATTACCGGCAACCTTTAAAAGTTCTCGTTGAAATTTGAAGACGTCTTCGCAGTTTTTCGCAAAGATCACAACGCAAGCTTTGTGTTGAATTTCTACGGAGAGCTCGCCATCAGCCAAGAGAATCGCCCTTCCATCTCCCTGATGGTTTAAACTGTCTATAGCCTCGAGTAAATGTTTGATGTTAGTCGGCAAAATTTCCATGACATAAGAGATCGGAAAATTTAAAGCAGCCATATGAGGTGCGATCAAAAGAAGATTTGTCGATGAGGCAATTTTGAGATTAACGTCAACCACAAAACATCCTTTATCGTTGACTAAAATCTCTACCCCAGTAAATCCAAAGTAACCATTTCCGTGAAGGTATTGCGTGACTGGATGCACAACGTCACGCAACATCTCTTCCAGCTCTTCCTGCTCGTCCCAGTTGACGTCGGGAGTCGGGATGTAGCCCTCGGGTCGCTTAACAAATGGTAGGTTCGATTTGCACTTGACGCCTAACCAGTGGAAAAGTCCATTTTGAAAGATGTACAGCTGAGCAAGGAGACATTTAGAGACATTTTCTATCACTTCCGTCACCACAAGTTCCGCATCGCAGAAATTATTACTGAGCTCATTTAAAGCTTCTGTAACCTCCTCCTCTGTTTTCACGAGAAAAGTTCCGCGTTTCCCCTTCCCTTGTGCAGCCTTTATAATGCAAGGGAGGGTATAATTATCACGTGACATGTGCCTGGGACACGGCGCCCCCATTTCGGGAATTCTGGCCTTGGAGCTAAGCTTGTAGTGAACGTCGGGATTGACGGCGTGCTTATTTGCGGGGAAACTTTGGAAAGGGAAATTGACGATCAACGGTCGGTCTCCTGTGTCTTCTTTGTCGAAGATTCTTATATCAGGTTTAGGAAAAAATGGTAACCACTTTGACCAGTGCTAATGAAATTCAGAAAAAAAGAAACATCAGAAACATGAAAATATACAGGTAAGACTGTTAGTTTCTCAAACAAATTCGTCAAATTCCTTTTTTCTAAATCAGAGCTTCGATTTAAACTTTACTGCTTTTTCATATATAGAAAACAAACAAGAAGAAAACATTTTAAAAAATAGACTCCAGAATGAAAATTCCAGTTATGAGAATTTGGTGTTGGATCAAGATAACAAACTCAGCCTGCTAGATAATGTATGGATATTATAAGGAAAAGTTATCTTTCAATCTCTTGTGGTAGTCTTACCTCTCTAATAAGCGGATTTATGTCCCGTGTTACCAGGATAGGAAATTTACTTCCAGCCACAGGACATGCCCTCATTGCCTTGAGGTGCCTGTTGTCTTCTGTTATGTTTGGTAAGTAGTCGTGGATGACATATTTCTTATCATTAACAAAGGTTGCATTATGGTTGAATGTTGAAGGTCTCTCAGTAAAGATGTAGGCTTGGGGCAGATCTTGAGCCAATAACCAACTGAGGGTTACCACATTGTTGTTGGTCATTACTGATGCCACAGCAACCTGGAGCAAATAAAGAAACAAAGATGATCCTTTGATACAAGAAAACTTCCTAATGCAACTGTCAAAGAAGCCTTAATGCTT